GAACACTTTCACAATGATCTAACAGGCATTTTTGCTATCAACAAACAATTGTTATGGCTACTCTTCTCGTTCTGCCCGCGATTCGAAGTACTTACCCGCAACAGCGGCCACAGCACATCAGCAATATTTTCGCTACCACAGCCACAAGCACCCACAGCAGCAACAACAGCAACAGCAGCAACAACAGCAACAAAGTTGCATGCGGCACATACCACAACAGCAGCAGCAGCATCGACAACTGATGTGGGAGCAGCAGCAACAACTGGTCAACAGCTCGAGCGAGTTTGACGAGTTTCACTGGCCAAGCAAGCAGCTGCAACAGCCGGACGCAGTTGGGGCCCTGGGCGGGGGTGGTGGTGGGAAAATCTATATAACACCCGCAGATATTCCGCCGCCGCCCCATCCGCCGCATCCGCACGGCAGCAACAGTCACAGCCACCACAATGGCAACAAAGGCAGACACCACCAGCATCCACAATCGACGTTGACGACTCCACACCGAACACCGCCGCATCGCTGCAAATGTGACCATCCGATTGAGCTGCTGGACTATGACTTTGAGGATGCAGCGACGGCAACAGCCGCGTCCACGCTCCACTCGCATCGTCACCAGCATCCGCCCTACTACTACAAGCCAGCTGCCGCCTCTCACTCGGCAGGCACCTATCAGCTGAGGCGCCACAATGCCAAGCTGAACGAGTCCATACTGGGCGGGGTCGGCGGCAGCAGCCTGGACGATGATGATTTGCACAGCGCTGGTGGCTTTGGCGGCGGCATGTCCCGCTTTAAGGTAAGCCACACACGCACGCACCATAATTTGGCACGGATTCTTGATATTCAATTAAAGCTTAATATGTGCCAAAGAGGACTCGTGGCCTGTGCATGTGGCTGCCATAATGCACCACTAATTGAGGGGCCGACATCTGGTCAACTGTTCCCTTAGCGACATCAAGTCAAAGGGCCAGTGTGTGTTTGTGTGTGTGAGTGTATGTGTGTAAGTGTGTGTGGCTTGCATGCAACAAGTAAAAACAAATTGTATAACATTAATTAGGGAAAGCAGCATGTTGACCAAACCATTATATATGCAGCTAAAATGCCATAATTAAAGAAAACAGCGGCTAAAACTGGGAAAATAAAAAAATAAACAAATATTTGTAAATATAATCAAGCGCTTATTTATTAGGTCGAAATTATAGAAGTAAAAGTTCGAATATTCTTTCTAAAAATGTATATTTTAAAGTACATTTTTATTTATCTTAAGGTCTTAGATTAAAGAAACATGTTTTGAGTCTAAGAATAATAACTCACTTGACCCACGTCAAGGGTTTTTTTTGAAAAACCTCTAACTCCCATATATATCTCACATTAAGAGCCACAAAGTGATTAACTCGTGTTGAAGGCTTCCTTTACTTCCTTGACTACATTAAATGGGAAAGCAATTTACGTGGCTCATTTGTCTTATACGCTCAGCCAGAAATATGCTCACAATTAGTAAAATTGTATTAAAAAGCTGGTAAAAACCGCAATAACAATAATAACAGGACACGCCCAAGAACACAACGGCACGCCCAGGACAACAACTAATTAACTTTGTCAGTTTAATGAAAAACTAAACGACAAATGACAGGCCAAAAGAGCCCCAAGGAGTAACCACCCCTTAAAAAGCGAAGATATGTCTCCTCGGGTGCCGAGGGCTGAATACCCTGCCCAGATACAAAGTGGTCAACAAAAACGCTTACGATAGGCTAAAGATACAAGTCTCGATTTTTGAAACGGAAGCAAACATAGTTTTTATACCGTTCACCGAGTTGGAAGCAATATCTGCTAGCTAAAGACTCATTTGCATAGAGACAGGCCGACAGGCTTTTCGATTGGGCTGAGAAGAGGCTCAAACAAAAGCACGAGTAAGTTCTGAAAGAGTACAGGGTGCAGAGGCTGTTGCTGCTGCTCTTGGCGGCGTTCATTCATTTTTAAGCAGGACACTTTGGGAAGGGCAAGGACCTTGTTGGCATGCCGCAACTCAGAAGCGATTATGTGTGAAGCAAAAAGCAGGCAACAAAATGGCAACTGACACTAAACAAGTATACGACATGTGGTGCAACATGGATATAAATTTCACTCAGCTTGTTTGCAGCCGTGCTCCGGCCTGTGCGATACGCAACTAATTGCCGGAAGTTCAAGTGCACAAGAAGCAAACGTTCAAGTTAACCGAGCATCTGATTTCACTGGTCTCGTTTCCGCAGGGCTGGGAATGATCCTAAGAGCACCTAAAAGCATTCGGTTTCATATTTATTTAATGAATTCGTTTGGGCTCGTCTGGCGCCACTAATTGCGCCACATTGTGCACAAATTCTATTCACAAATCCCAAAACAATCCCCAGACAAACAAAAGTCATGCGTTCAACACAGACGGAACCCAGTCGTGCGAATTTTCAATTTGCTCGCCATCAAGCCAATCGAAGTGTGTTTGTCCAAAAATGGACACAATTTTAATACCCTAAAAGTTTTCTTTCAACTTTCAAATCAATTTCCATCGTATCTAAGGGTTATGCTATATACTTAAACCATATACATTTAAATGAATTATAAAGTAGATTAAGTCTTTTGCTGGTCTCTCAACAATCTCGAGTTGCCAACACAGATAAAAAACGAATATACCCATTTTTACTTAGTTTCCCAAACGCTTGCTGCGTGGCTGATGAAAAAGCTTAAATGCAATATTAGAATAGAGAAATATAATAAAACTGTGCGCGGGAAAAAAGCGAGAAACAATTTCAATTTGATCTGCGTTTAATAAATGCGCTGACCCCGACAACCCCAAACGCCAGAAACCCAACTCATTGTGATACCTAGTGGGAGCATATTTTATGGCCGTTCTACCCATAAAATCGTACAACTTGTAACCGGCATTTCCTCGAGCCCAGTTGCAGTTGCCACCAAGGTGCCATATATTTTGGATGTGCCACTGCAAATCATTTGGGGATTCGGAGCACACGTGGCATCAGCGTGGGCATGGCGTGGGCGTGGGCGTCTTCGCCTGGGGTTTGGGGATTGCCACTTGGAAATTCGCTTCGATTTCTTTTGCATATCTTAATGGCATATGTGCGGTTAGTTGACTGTGTAAGTAAAAATGTCGAATGGATACACAGATACAAGCTCATAAATGGTTACGCAAGAAAATACCAACAACAAAAACCGGAAAATAAAGGTCAAAGTTTATTCAACTGGATTTGAATTCTTGAATGAATGTTGCTTGAGCTTTATACCTTGTTGCTGGAGCAGACTTTACTAAGTTAAGCCAATAAGAAGATGTAAGCCAAAATTGACATTAACAAAATATATAAACATAATCATTTTTTAATTTAAGTGCATTTGTTTACTTGAGGCTGGAATCGAGCAAAGCCTTCTCATGTTTACTTAGCGAAATGATAGGAGAAAATATAGTTTGGATTGGAGTTATGAGTTTGATAGCAATAATAATAATCATAAACAAGCAATAAAGAGCGTAATTTAGTCTAGTTTTTTTTCTCGCATAATGTTGGAATTGAAAAATAAAAGCGTAAACGATAGTATTCAAGTTAAGCTTCTCTTTAAGCTTCAACAAAGGCGTTATTAGATACAAATACTCCTGTCAGAAATCTTATATAAGCTCGTTTAACCTTGAGCTGGTCTAAATCAACCACATAATTATCAACAACTGTCACGCTGATATAAGTTTGGCATCATTTCTCACTGACACACAAAAAGCCAAATGCGATTTATTTTTATTGGACATCTATTGACAGCTCTATTAACACAGGGAACCGCTTCTTATTTACTTTGAAGTCGCGTAATGTGAAAAAACAAAAACATGTTGAAAATAGCAAACCAAAAGTCAATAAAAATTACTTACATAAAAAAAGTAATTTCTCAGCTACCTGGTAAATGTTTATATGAGCTTACGTCATGGCGCAATTGTCGGTTTCCCCGACCTGCAACAGCTCGACGCCTCGCCCAGCAATCCAAACCAGTTCCGAGACGACTTCAGTCTGGTAAAAAACAAAAAAAAATACAAAACTACTTTCATTTTCAGTCTGCGTACCGTGATTTCTGATTTGGAGTTCGCTTCAAAAAGAAAGAGCGCATTGCGCATGCGCAACAACGTCTACAGCAAATATTTTTATGCAAAAGTCTTTTATACTAAGACTTGGTGAAACGTGCCTGGGATATTAAATATTTAACTGCCTCTATATCAGAATATAAAATTGACAGAAGACCCATCTAATGTTCATTTGAAATTTGCGTATGAAGCCTATTTAGGGCAGCTTGAAAGCCAAAAGCAATTGCGGAAATGCATTCGATGACAGATTAAATGCGGTCATATATAGCATAATATAGCATAATAAACTGGAAGTCTTTAAGAGCCAGACTCTAATTTTTCCTTTTTGCTGTAAATACAGCGTTTTTTTATATATAAAAAAAAAAAGAAATAAACTTATTCTTAAGCTGCCGCCTTGCGATAAATCAAACAGAGTCAAAGAGACAATTTCAAAACAATAATCTACTAGTGTCTAGTCTAGTTTAAAAGCTATGTTGACAAAGTTTGATGATGAATCGGAGCATTATATATTATGTCTCAAAAAGGAATCATCGTTTAATAATAAATTTCTTGAGATATATCAACCTACCTTACCCATAACCTGCTTCAACGCATTTCATATATTTGAGGAATAAATTAATGAACTGTTTAAGAAATTTAGAGAAGAACACACTCTTTTATAATATCGATATTCTCCAGTTCAAAAAATAAACTTTTTATGCTTCTTTCATTTGGTTTGGGTTAAAATGTAATAAAATATCTTTATATGTATGTCTAATGACGCTCCTCTTAACTCAAATATATCAACTCCTAACTATAAAATGAAGAAGTGAATCCTCAGGGGGCAAACTCCGTTTATGATTATATGTATTTAAATAATATCCGCTGATATTCCTCACTAATATCTATACTTATTCCACAGAACCTGGTCTACTCCAAGGAAAAGAAACGCAGAGTGCGCATAATCTTGAGCATTGTTGGTGCAGTTATCGCGGTAGCCCTGCTGGCTACAATGCTGGTGTTTGTCCTGGGCTCCGGTGATACAAACGACGATAAGCCAAAGGACAATGCGATCGATCTGGAGGATGTGCTGAGCGGTCAATTATATGCAAAGCGCTTCAATGGCAGCTGGAGCAGCGGCAACAGTGTGATTTACAAGGAGAATGCGGTAAGTGCACCAGATCTCCATACACAAATAGCTTATGCTACAGCGTACAACCCTTAAGGACATTGTGGAGCTGGATACAAAGACGCTGGTCGTCACCAAGCTGTTGGCCAATGCGGCGCACTATGTGCTCTACGAGAAGTCAGCAGATGGGCAGCTGCTGTTGCTAGCAAAGAACTACAAGAAGAACTTCCGCTACAGCTTTCTGGCCCAATACGACATCTACAATTTGAGCAGCAATACCATTAAGCCGCTGACCATACAGAACGAGCCGGCCTATCTGAGCATGGTCCAGTGGTCTCCGGTGGGCAATGGGCTGATCATTAACTACGATCGCAATTTGTATTATAAGAAGAGTGCTCTGGACACAGAGATACCTATTACGACCAATGAACGTGGAATTTATCTGAACGGCATACCCGACTGGGTGTACGAGGAGGAGGTGTTCAGCTCGAACGTGGCCACCTGGTTCAATCCCACAGGCACCCAGATAGCCTTCATTCAGTTCGATGACTCACCCACGCATGTCATCAACTTCCCCTACTACGGCGATGCTGGCGATCTACGTTTTCAGTATCCATTGCATCAGGAGATTCCATATCCCAAGGCGGGCTCTTCAAATCCCCGCGTAGTGCTCTTCATGGCCGACCTCGAGCGAGCGGCAGCGGGCAATGAGTTCCTTACTTCGATGCCAGTGCCAAGTGCCCTAAACACGGAAACCGACTATATAGTCACTGCAGTCAGTTGGCTGGATGACAATAATGTCCTCTCCGTATGGATGAATCGCATTCAGAATGCGGCCTATGTTGTCAGCTTCGATGGACTAAGCCGGAAGCTGGTAAGTAAACGAAGAACTCCACTTTGGGTTCAACCATTCACTCTCTCTCTCTCGTTCTCTCTATCTCTCTCTCTCTCTGCAGCTGTATAGCACTGAATCAAAAACAGGCTGGGTGGATCTCTATACGGCGCCATTTAAGAACCGTAATGGCTCACGGCTGGCCTTCGTGCTGCCCCATGAGAACTACAAACAACTGCAGCTGCTGTCCACAGACGTGAGCAATGCGCAGCTGGAGCCACTGACCAGCGGAAAGTTTGTGGTGGACAGCATACTCCACTGGGATGCGACGCATGATGTCATCTTCTATACGGCCAACACAGAGGAGCATCCAGAGCAGATGCATCTGTACGCCATACGCGCTGTGACGACCCGCAAGCAGGCGGCCAAGTGTCTGACATGCAAACTGATGACATCGGGTGATGTGGAGCAGAACTACTATACGGCCATCTTCAATGACAATAATCAAATTGTGATTACCTCTCTGGGACCAGGCATACCCACAACTGCAGTGTACGAGTGGACCTATTCGTTCTGTAGGTTATATCGCACTTGCTTGGCATAAAAATGCTTTTATATTCGACTATTCCTTAACAGCTCAGGTGACGCTGAAAAAGCTTTTGGATTGGGAGAATAATGAGGCGCTGCGCGCCAAGCTACGCGGAGTCGCGTTGCCCACACACAAAATACTCACAGTCAACATTGATGGAGGATTTCAGGCAAAGGTACTGCTCCAGCTGCCACCCAATTTGGATACCAGCGGCAAAACCAAATATCCCATGCTGGTCGATGTCTACGGTGGACCCGATTCCTATTCCGTAAGCAACGCCTTCTGAAAGACCTACAATCAAAAGCCAGCTTTCAACATATTGTATCTTTGCCAGGTGACAACCAAATGGATGATGGACTGGGGCACCTACTTGTCCTCGAATCAATCTGTGATCTATGCCAAGATCGATGGGCGCGGCTCGGGCCTGCGCGGTGAAACCTTGCTGCATGCCATTTATCTGCAGCTGGGCACTGTTGAAATAACGGATCAGATCAGGGTCACGCAGTAAGTACTTGGGACATAACACATAGGGTATCTTAAGCTCGTCACATAATGTGTATATAATGATACGCCTCCGACTCCAAAGAACATGGGCATATATATAGCTGCTATTGAAACGATGCAGTTCTTGTCTGAAGAACTTTTTTATTTTTTAAGCTATCTTAAGTTTAATTGCTTCATATTTGATCAACATCGGACATCGGACTATACCATATAGCAATAATTAATTCTTAAGACATTTCAACCGAAATTAGCAATCGAAACGAATCGGACCACTATATTCTCGATAAATTTCTAGGAATCTGACACAAATGTTCAACTACATCGATGCTGAGCACATTGGCATCTGGGGCTGGAGTTATGGAGGCTATGCGGCGGCCATGGCACTGGCTAACGATGACACTGAAGTATTCAAATGCGCCGCGTCCATTGCACCTGTCACCGATTGGACCTATTATGGTGGGTTAGGCCATGTGAAAATATGGACAGCCTGATAGCTTTCTCGATTTGCAGATTCGATCTATACGGAACGGTATATGGGTCTACCGGACACAAATGAGATTGGCTATGCCAACTCGAGACTGAGCACACGCGCCCAGAAGCTGCGGGGCAAGAAATATTTGCTCGTCCATGGCACATCCGATGATAATGTGCACTACCAGCAGGCCATGATACTGGCCAAGAATCTGGAGCGACACGACATTCTGTTCAAGCAAATTGTAGGTTCCATTAACATGCAGATCATATTATTGTTGTTCTATCGAAATTGTTGTCTTTATGCAGAGCTATGCCGATGAGGATCATGGACTGGCCAATGTGCGTCCGCATTTATATCATTCGCTGGACCGTTTCTTTGGCGAATGCTTTTCCAGCAGCCGGCTGATGAAGAGCGCCAAGTAGAGTTATAAGCAGGAATAATTCTTAAATTATAGTTTAAACAATTTAAATGATAACTTGTAAGGCTTGCAAGAAAATTAGAGCAGAGCAATTTAATTGGTACTTAAAAAGTTGCATTTCAATTCAAAGCGTTTCATGATAAATATATTTAAAAAAAAAATTAATTTAAAAATGCTTCAGAAATATAGAAAGGAGAAAATCAAACGAATGCAGGTCCAAAAGTGTTATAAGATAACTTTGAACAATAATATTTGAAAATGCATTTTAAGACATTTTAAGCATACAATTGAACCGAAAACAAAAATCAAATATTTATAGACAAATCTAATAAATAATAAACTAGCTGCAGACCATGTCTAAGCCGTAGTTAGTGCCTGTTACAATAGAAACTTTAAATGATACTAAAAAAAAAAACAAAAATAAAAACAAAATGAATTTCACAATTAACGCCTAGAGTTTTGTCTATTTTTGCGATTTGAAAGTTTTTGTTAAACAGACAAAGAATAAAAAAAACTATGTAAGTTGTTTCCAGCTGAAATTTTGAGCTTGTAGCTTCGTTGTAGTTTTATAATTTGCCTTATTGTAAAAAGAAAAATCACAGAATTTGTAAATAAATAGTTGTTAAAAGGCTTTTATAAATTAGACGAAAAATGTGTATAGGCAACAGTTAAAAAGGCAAACACAATTGAAATTAATAAATATATTCAAACAAATATTTCACACTAACGCCACATGCCATCGCCCAATAAAACCATATTCCGGAATAATCTTTTTAGCTTTCAGTACACAAACCGGCTCGCTTTATTGCCTTGGCCCCAAACTGGGTTTACATACACCATACATTATATATGATATCGGCTCTGTATGCATACATATGCCGCATATGGGCGCATTTTTTGCCATCTTCTTCAACAATTTTTCAAATGTCAAAAATGTTTTTCAATTTTTAAATACATATGTATATATCGTTAAATTTACGTATTTTAAATGGAGTTCTATATCTTGAAATCTATATTTTACAATTGATATTGATTAATTTAAAACTGACGATAATAACTTCATCTTTCGTAAATTTAAATTATGAAATATTTGTATATACTATTTTCGAACTTGAAGCATAATTTTTATGGTACAAAAATATTTAATTCTTTTCATTTACTTAAGAGTTTTTGTTTTATTTTTGCGGTGTGTTTTCCAACGTTCTAAAAATACTATTCGTAGTTTCTTATATTTTATGCCAATTAACTTTATACATATGCATTTTTTGTATTGTTAATTAATTAACTTTAAGTGTTTCGTATTGTTCAATATATACAATAGAACATGGGCATTATAAAATGAATACATATATAAGTATGTAAAGGATGGTAAAAGCTTAAATAGGTGAAGTAAATTCCGGGTTCGGCAAGATAACAACATTTACTATTCTTACATACGCATGCATGTATCCATTAGATAAGCTCAATTTGTTGGCGATTACGATCATGTGACAAGTCCAAAACTTATGGGAAACTAACAGCTATATGTACTATATGGATAATATTAATCGCTTTGTTTATGTTTATGTAACAGGGTTCTATTGCAGATAAACCTCCTGGACTCCCTCATGGTGCTCTTGGTGTTGTGGATCGGTATCTTGCAGATCCTCCTGCAAATCCATCTGATGATGCTGATGCTGCAGATGGTGATGGTGGTGTTGCCGCTGCTGCTGTTGTTGATGTTGCTGCTGTTGTTGATGGTGGTGTTGATCCTCGATGACAACACCCTCGCTGCCATCATACTCAATCAATTGATCATCTGCTTCCGCTTGCTGATGATGATCTATGATAATGTGTTCCTCCTCCACCAAATGGTGCTCATGCTGATATTCGTGCTGTTGCTGCTGCTGTTGCCAGCGCAGCGGTGGCGGCGATGTTGACGCTGCCAAATGCTGCACTGGCTCATGCATGCTTGTCGTGCTGGTTGATCCGCCAGCTGCGGATGTGGTTGTTGTCTGATAGACGGTTTGCTGATTCCTAACAATATGACCGGCGGCAGTGACATTGGTTACGCTGGCGCGCTGATTGGTGCGCGTCAAGGTAACTGTCACCTCAGAGCCAAGGCCAGCAAAGGAGACAGATGGTGTGGTTGCCGCATTGGTGGCACCTCCTGCAGATGCAGCTGATGTTCCCGCTGCTCCTGCTGCTGCTGCCGCTGCTGTGGCTCTGGCCTGGAGTATCTTGCGTGTGGGCAACTGTGATGCGCTGGCTGTGGAGGTTGTTGATGTTGTTGCTGCTGATGCGCCCGATTGGGGCACATAGTTAATGAGCAGAACTCGCTCCCCACTGGTTGTTTGTGCAGCATGGCCGCGCAAGACGCGGCGTTGCAATGCTCCACCAGTTCCAGTTCCAGTTGCAGTTGCAGTTGCAGATGTTGCTGTTGCTGCATTACTGCTGCTGCTGTTCACTGTTGTTGCTGCGCTGCTGCGTTCGCTTGCGTTGCTGTTATTGCTGTTGTTGGTGCATTTACCATTGTTGCCGCTGTGCTGCTGCGCTGGCTGCCCACCGCCCCCGAAGCCTCCGCCTCCTCCAGGGCCGCTGGTCATATCGTTGGCTCATCATTACGTATTATTACCGCCTTTCAAAATGAAAACCTTCTTTACCAAAATGTTCTTGTTGTTGCCCTAATTTCATTGATTGTTCATGAATGATACGGTTGTTTGTTGGGTTGGTTGTTTGGTTGGTTGATGCATGAGTTGCGATATTTTAACAAATTTTAGTTATTTTTTTATAGATTAGAGTTGGTGAGTTAACAACGAGGCAGCGAAAAGAGAGAAGACAAGATAAAAAACGATTTGTTAATGACTTGGTTATGGATCCAATGTGAGATTATGTTATGATAGTGCAAGGGCGACATAAAATAGCTCCGAAAAATAAATCATTGCGCGATCTTTAACTTTATATATGTTGGGTTAGATATGTTTCTCTAGTTTTCTGTTTGATATTGGAATTCTTTAGTCATTTGATCATGTGTTAGTCAGTCATTCTAAGTACTTTGTTATTGACCAACTTTTTAACAAGTTTATATATTTATATTTGCCTAAAGAGCTCGAGTTATTTCATAAGACCTGGTGTTAGGGTGTCGAGTTGTTGTGAGTTTCATGTTGATGCGTTGAGTGCAATGTCAAAAAGTTTAGTTCAAGGTGTGACAAATATATTAAAGCATGGTTAGACTTGCGGTAGAACATGCACACACACACACATACGTAATAACAAAACATAGCTTTGTTATTGATTAAAGATTGAGCAACCAATTTGTGAATTTGGGTAGATTGTAAAATACAGTTGTGAAGCAAAGTTAATAAACAAATTTATAGCGAAAAGAAAAAATTATATATTAGCAAAAACTGGAATGTTCAGAAATTATATAAATATTCTATTGTTTAAATGTGGGCTAAAAAATAAAAGATCCAACACCAAATATGGAACAAAAATTTTGTACATTTTTTTTCAAACAGATTTTGGTTTATTCATGTATATTTGTTTTAAATAAAATTTTATTTTATTTAAGTCATAAGAGTTAAGGTATTTTTTAGACAGGCCAAATATTTGCTACATTTAAAGACGAAAAGTAAATAAAAATTGATATAATTTTTGTTGTGTATAATTTCTAAGTAAAAATCAAGGCAAATATATGACCTAATCCAAAAAAAGGCGACTTATTTAAAAAAATTTGCAACTATTAAGATTAAAAAATAATTATGTAAATATAAAGAGCTTTTTGTATATTAAATATAAAGTGTATAGTGTACATCATTTTGTACAGTGTAGCACCAAAGCTATTTTGGTCTAAGAGCGGAGAAAATAAGAGAAACTAAAGCTTATAGATAGCTGCTTGGTAAGAGCAGAGTTAAGGCAGAAGTACAGGTCCAAGTGGACAGCATTAACTCAATATATAGATCTTATCTCCGTCAGACAAACTACAATTGAACCTCACTTTGCTTTAGATAATTTTAGCTAAACATATTTAAGACAATCTACACAATGCAAAAGTCATGTAAATATTCACAAAACAATTGCTTACAATTGACCCGACTTTCGGGCAGGTCCACAATAACACTACACTGATCAGATATTAAGTTTGACTAGCTTGTCTAGTCTGTCCAATTAAGACTACATACACATTACATGGATTGGGAGGGGGCGTGGGACATGTCAAACTACAGCACATTACATAGTCCAATAACCATAGGGCGTTCTTAAATAATAACTAAGTATTGCAGAACAAAATATTTGTAGCCAAATCAATATTTAAAGTTAACAAAATTGTACAACAAAATGGATTATAAAAACTAAAGGCACTTGTGATATGCAGAGCAAACCCGTGACAACTTCATGACAACTGACTCCCGTTTCGGGAACTGGAACTATTTGCAAATCACACACAAAAGCATATTTAAACATGTTGATATATAAATCGTTTCTCTATCAGAACCAGAACCAGCTACCTGACTTGAGGTTTAAACCTTAATCTGTTATGTAAGCAACATTTTAAGAAAACAATTTAAGTTGTATATGATGGTGAGAACTTATTGGAATCGGAATAGATCCTAAGCTGGTTTGCAGACCTGATTTAAGTTTTTATCTGATCTGATCGGGCCCAGATTAAAAATAGTTGTCTAGGCGCTAGCACAGTTTGCCATTGGGTTGCATAGTTCGCTCCACATATCCTAGTTTAGATGGTATATACCATATTTTACTACACACATTCCGGGAAGAGTTAAGCATATTGGAGAACCAAGTCAGGGATTGGGTTTATAATAAAGGGGTCTATGATTCGGTTCGATTCGTCAGAGCTGTACGTGCTACTCAAAGCGTCTGTGGTGGTTGTGTTTGTTGTTGTTGCTGCTGCTGCTGTTGCTGCTGCTGCTGTTGTTGTTGTTGTGATTGTTGTTGCTGTTGAAAATCAGTCATATTCACCTGATTCAAATTGCCAATTATCTGATGACCCTGCAACGTTTGCACCTGGGCAATAGATAACGGCGTACCGCTCTCACTACCATCTGACTGGGCGACCAGCTGCTGTTGCTGCTGCTGCTGATTGTTCGCCTGTTGCTGGGCGGCCGCCTGGGCACTGGTTGTGGGCGTTGTCATGTTGCCAGACGAATCGATAATCTGGTGATGCTGCAGTGGCTGTTGCTGTTGCACCTGAACCTGCTGCACCTGCTGCTGTTGCACTTGGCCCCCGGCCGTGGTGGTAACTGTCATTGCTTGTTGCTGTTGCTGTTGCTGCTGCTGTTGTTGTTGTTGCTGCTGCTGTTGTGCATCGGGATCCTTTTTGACTTGTACGCTCTGCATCGGATGAAGCGACTGCACCGTCTGCACTTGGGGCACAACTCCGCTGGAGCTCAGCGCGCCGCTGCCGCCCGACTGCGACTGCACAGAGCCGGGTGTGCTGCCGCCAGGTTTCTTGCCGCTGGGTGCTGCAAAGTATTTGGAAGATGAGTATCAGAATTGTGTCCAAGCAACGTGTGTAAAGACAATTTCAACGGATACGTTAGGGCGACACCAACTTGGTCAGATGTCAAAGCAACTGTAACAACAACCTGACTAAAAACAACGACAGCAGAAATTGAAGGAGCGATGTGAAAGAGTTAAGTGTGTGTGCCTAGAGTGTTTGTGTGTGTGTGTACGTGTGTGTGTGTAATTTAGTCTAACAAGAAGATTAGTAGATAATGAATAAGATTAATAAGTGAAGAAATTAAAAAAAAATAATATAGTTACGAGTGTGCCTAATTTATTACAAACAAAAAATAGTTAAACGAAAAAATAAATTAATAAAACAAACAAACAAATATTAAAATCAAAAAGAAATATAAAACCGAAAGATCAAAATTAAATTTTAAAATAAAAATCAAACATTAAAAAAAACATGGTAAATTCTATACAAACTAGAATCACAAGCTCAAGATTTAAACGTATTTTAGAATAGTTAAAAATCAAAGTACAGTATTTTCTTGCAAAGCAAATAAAAACAAGAACAAAAACAAAGTGCACACAAACAAGAGTCGATCGAATGGGATAAATGAATATTAACTAATTGCCGCAGCGTCAAAATTAATTGCAAAAAATTTTGGTTACATAAAAATGATATACGTATATATTTATTAAACAATTTATAATATATGTTAATATATATTATTTAAAATGAAACTTAAAGTGAATTTTTTTCTTTTAAGCCACAAAGAAAGCTTACAATTATAAATTATTTGTTAATGGTTTTTGTTCCTTTTTTTACATTTTACAAATATAACGCGACATAATTATTATTTGTTTTTTTTTTTTTTGTTTGAAGTAAAATTGTTTGAGTATTCACCGTTATATGCAAGAAAATACTGCATAATTATTAACTTTTCCTTTGTTATTATTGGTTAAAAATTTTTAAAGCGAAATTATGAAACTTACAACAAAAATTATACAAAATGAAATAAACATTCATTTGTTGACGGATGTTTTTTGTTATTTACAAACATTGTGTGGGTGTGTGTGTGTGTGTAAGTGTATGTGCAGGTGTTGTGTTACATGTATGTGTATGTGAGTGGGTGGGTGTTAAGGTGGAATGATTAGGCGGCCGGCATTGGGCGGCGGCGTCGTTATTATTGGGGCTGCTGCTGCTGCGGCAGAAACACTTGATCGCCCACAATATGTATAACATTTTGCATGCCCTGCTGCGCAGCGGCGCCGCTGCTTCCGCTGCCGCTACCGCCCTCATGCTTGACATTGACGCCCATGAGATGCGTTTGACCACCACCCGCTCCGCTTAGTGTTGATGTGTTTAAGTGTTGCTGCTGTTGTTGTTGTTGCTGTTGTTGTTGTTGTTGCTGCTGCTGCGGTGTTTGGTGGTGCTGCTGTTGCAGTTGCTGCTGTGGCAGCACAGTACTGGCCATAATAGTGTTACTGGTGGGCGTGGACGTGGGTACGACCCTTGGTAAGTGCGTTACACCGCCACGAACTGGCGTCTCCGTTGCCGATGGTGTGCCCGTTGCACTGGTGTCGCCCACGGTTGTGTTATTTAGCTCACCGCTGGTGTCTAGTGTGGTATCATTACCGGACTTACTTTTCTTCTCCTTTTTGATGCCCGGCTTGGCAAAGTGCCGCAGCTCGAGATGGCGACGCAGATTGCGCGATTGACGTATGACGGCATAGCAAATGGGGCAAGTAGCAGGTTGTTCCGATTGTGAGCGTGACCGAGGCTCTGCACAGACAATTAGCGAAAAAAATAAATGTTAATGTTGTACCTTAAAGGACACCATCAAATGACTCACTTTCTGTCCCAGGCGGATGTTTAGTGCGTTTGGCCTTTGGCGTGGCGGTACTGCCGCTGGCGCCGGGCGTTACGGTTGTTCCAGACGCAGTTGTTATTTCTCCAGTGGCCGCATTTGCCGATGTCACGGGTATCATATTGTTGGGGTCCATTGTGACAATTGTCTCAACCTTTTGTCCTTCGCTTTTGATGATCGGTGTGCTGGTTAACAGTTGCGTTTCGGCGCCATTTTCGTCCAGAACCTGCTGTTGCTGCACTACTTGCTGCTGCTGCTGTGCGGCCAACTGAGAGGATGTCGGTGTGCCCATAATCGTGTCCATGCCTTCAATTTTAGGGACCTTCGGTGCCGATGCTGTTTATGAGAGAAAGGAGAGTTCACGTTACAACAGGACTCCCAACTGATCGTGATTTTTATCTGACACTTACGTGACATTTTCTTGACGCGCGGTTTTCGCTTGCGTGCCGGCAAGAAACTCTGGATTACTGCCTGATCGTGCTTGGATGCGTCTGCTGTCACAATCGTTTGCTGATGTCCGGCTGCATTAGTCTGTGTGGTTGCCTGCAGAATCTGTCCCTGGTGGTGTATATCCTCTACAACCTGCGCGTGCACAGTTTGCTGCGGAGCCGTGGCAATAGTTGCTATCAATTGATCCTGGTCATGGTGCTGGGGTATCATATGCTGCAGTTGTATCGAGTGCGTTGTGTAGTCATCCTTAGTCACTGTCTGCGGTGCCAGGCCCTGAATATTGAGGCACTGCGCCGCCTGCAGCAGCGATGGCAGCTGCGCATGATCGACGCTTACCTCGCCCCGATAGACGAACTCCAGCAGTGCCTCCAAATCGTTGGCATTGACGCCGGCCAACATCACCACTGGATGTTTGCATGGCGTGTTCTAAACAAAAGTATACAAAACTTATGATTTAACGGGATATACAAGTGTGCATAAAATAATTGTTGCACATCTGTGAGATGTGACTGAATTTTATTCTTACACTCTATTTTTCTAATTTTTTACCAATAATATTTTAACTTGGAAAGCGAACAAAAAATAAGCTAAAACAGTTCGTATGAACATTAAACGTAAATAAGTAATGTTTACTCTGTGGGTATTTCATGTTCGAAATTTCTGCTGGGCAACAGATTTCTCTAGCAATATACCGTTGTATTTGGCGCTCCAAATACACTTGCCGGTTGCGGAACGCGCGCGCTCATTCAACGCTGCTGCTCCGGCGTGCGTTAATTCAAAACAGAGACAAAAGAATTGGCCATCAAGTGAGACCATCAAAACAAACGGATAAATGGTCGACAAACTCACACATTCGCATAAGCAAAACGAAACGAAACACAAACAGAAACAGAAACACGTACATGCACACGCACAAGCACACGCACACAGAGACAAGCAAGCACATACTCTCATCACAATAAACCGGCTTTTCGCTGTGCGCGCTCTGCATTTCTGCAGCAGGATTGGAGATGCTGACAGAGCCCATAACCGCTGCGTCGCGCTGCTCAAGAAAGAGCACCCCGCTCGCTCGCACGCTCACAACATGCCACGGATTTAATTAGCAGGCAAGCAAAAAGTCTGCGGCGTTCAGAGGCCCGCTTAAAGCGGTGAGCGACAGTTTACCACTCGCCGCCAGCAGCGTTGCGCTGCCAGCGCCTCTCGCCCAATCTCTTTAAATGTCATCCAGCGCTTGCCGCGCTCCGTCGCACTCAAACCCGCACAAGGGCCGCGTACCGCACGCTCTTTGAACTCTACACTCCCTTCAGCTTGCCTGGCTGGCCCGCTGCCTGCCTGCCTGCGTGTTGGTCTACCTACTTCTGCTGCTGACGTCGCACTCGCCATTGCTGACGCTCATCGATTTTTTCAGAGTGGTTGCTTTTCACTGCTTGCACTTTGTGAGGGAGCGGGAGCAACAAAGAGCATTGTCTACGTGTTTAGCGTGTGTGTGTGAGTGTAACGAGATCAGTATATGTACGAGTACATCTTGTGGCTGCGACTCTTGCAGAGTTCACATATAAAACCAATTTTTGACATTTCCCGCGACCGACTCTGAGCGACGTTTTTAAAAATTACGCTCTGTTTACTTTTTGAACGGGGGAGCGAACGTAAAGCCGATGCCAGCGTCAGGTGTTCTACACTCTGCTCCGCTCTGTTTTGGTCATTTGACATGTGGACGCAGAAACAATAACAATGAATATCTGATTGGCGCTGATCTACAGTGCAAGTTCTTCAACGTACAATGCAAGTAATTTAGTAGAAAGGCAAAAAAAGGAAAAAAGAAAAATACAACAAATCAAGCAATGAAATACTGCACTGAAATAAGTACAGTACAGCACATAAAATTGAAAATGTTAAAGTGTAGCAACAAAAATAAAAACCCAAATCAAAAAGCAAATGAGATTCACATAAGCACATACATATATACGTGTGTACGTATATAAAGACATGTGTATGTACATAAATGTGTTGATATATAATTTTGATATGAGCTGTCTACAATGAACAGTGAAGCTTGAATATAACAAACTCAATACGATTTATGAAACTTATGAGTGTGTTTGTAGGTAAACTACGCGTCCAATGCATTTTTAGTACCACCTATAAATAATTAAAATGACACTTTTATCATTTCTTTTCCTGCTGCTGCATCCCTTTCAATATGTCCCCATAGCCAATATCAACTGTACATTAAGCATACACACACACACACACTTGCTCGCATAAGCAAAAAGAGGTCGCGCTCGTGTGCACCCAACAACAGCAACAACAACCTTAGCAGCCAGAGCCAGTCAGGCAGCCCCGTCGCTTGGCGCTCTCGTTTGCGCTCGCTCTAACACACTTAACAGTTGGCGCAACTTTTGCTCCCCCTCCCTAACCAAAGCGCTTACTCTCGCACTCTCTCTCACATTCTCTCTTTCTCTCTCGCTCTTTGACACTCATAAAAGCTTATACATTTTTATTATAAACAAGTTGATAAGCGACACAGGACACAGGGTAAGGGGGACGGACACAATATGGCAACGTCAGCGTTAGCGCAAAAGAGTACGCAACTCATTCAACTCAATTGACAATTGAAAACTTACACGGAAATCTCTGGCAAACTAAAATGACGAGAAAGTAGGAGACGACACCGATGGTTCATGCTGCTGCTGAGCATAGGCCCAGAGCGCCAAGTGTGTGTTTAAGCCAGGAGCAGAGCGCGAGTGCATACTTTTCTAAATCGCACACACACGCTTACAGATACGCACACAAACACTTTTATAGCTCACATGCACATTGAGTTGGGGAGCCAAACTGCTACACAATAACACATACACTAGCACGCACAAACACATATTAACCTATTTGGCAAGTCGAACGACGACTTTGATTTCTCTGTTTACAAACTGTACGCGCAAAAACACATGCCAGAAGAACGTTGTTGAGGTTATGTTTGACAAAAGCTCTCGCCGCGTACTCACCTTTAGCAAGTCCAATAGAAATGGAGAAGCCGCACAGAGCACGATTTTATGGGCTGGGAAACTGCGTCCGCCGGCTGCCAGTGTGCAATCGACGAGGTCTCCATGGCACCGCAACAATTGTATGGCTGATACCAGAGATGTGCCATAATCGCCCCAGGTGAGCGAGTACAGTGAATTCATTGGCAACGACATTAGGGCTGTCGTGTCCAAATCCAACAGTTGTTCTCCAGCGTTGTAATTGTATTGATTGCTGTTTGTGGCTAACACGACGAGGCTGTTATTCTTGCAACGGTCTAACAAGAAATTTCATCTAAATGGCAGCTTCAAATGATGATGCTGCTCCACTGCTCCACGTCCACGAGCTTTCACGAAGACTGAATGGCGCGCTGCGTCTTATCGTTGCCCCCTGAAAGAAAAGAGTAAAGAGCATAAGCAGATGGCAAGCAAACAACACATAAGTCATGTGCTCTCGCTCTCTCGCGAGAAAAATTTTTATATATGTACATGTGATTCCAAACGTGTTTGTGTGTGTGTGTGTGTGTGTGTGTGGGAGGGGAGGGGGATGACTGGCGCATGAGCTCCACGCGCACACCTCACTCCCTCTCCCAAACACTGTGAGCGCGCGAGAGCGAGACAACAAGAGAGCAAGTTTTACAGCTCGTATATGAAATGTGGGCCGCCCGCCCGCCCCCCACAGACCAATGGTCGAACGTATGGAAATGCATGACTTTAGACATGGAAAAACACACAGCTAACACGAACTGGCAACAATACAAAAATATTCTTTTAATAATAAATCACTAAAAAAGCGCGCCATCAGCACACAAACATTATCAGTCACACCCAGCAATATTCATAAGTTGTTCGAGTTCTCCAAATTATTCTTTTTTTTTCATTTTTTTTTTTTTTGCTGTCTCTGTACAGTTAACGCCACGCATTTTGGGTTTACCTATGCGTTTGTTCTATAACTACAATTTCATTCACTTTTGTGTTGTTATTTTGTTTGTTTACACGCCGTCGCTCCCGGAGCGAACAATTTTATGCATGTTGAAATTATCTTCTCACCGGAGCGCAAAGAAAAATCTGCTGGCTGCTATTTTATACTCGGTTTGCTTTCCCTTCTTGATTGCCGCTCACGGTTGGTAGCTCTGGCTCTTGGTTTTCTTTTTGCTGCTGCTGCTGCTCGCCAGCGTTGAATAACTCGAACTGAGCTCTGAGTATTCGATCGAATTACGTTCTGCCAGCGCGGCGCGGTCGCGTCGTATGACGAGTTTTAGTCTCTATACGGAGAAAATTTCTGATCATGCGCGCATAACCGCTTTTTGGTGGTGGTTACACGTGTGTGTGTGTGTTGAGTATGAACGTATCTATGTGTGTGCGCGTATGTGTGTTAGTGACACTGTTGCTGCGGTGAGCGCATGAGAGTGAGAGAGATGGCTGGCAGTGTGCGCTCTTGAAAGTACAGTTTACTAGTAGCATTGCCAGATGTAAATAAATTTAAGTGAAACGCAAATGAAAGAGCATTTCAGTAAGCCAAATAATCTTGTAAAAGAAATAAATTAAACAAAAAATAAAATAGATATAGGTTGTAAAAGTATGTTTCAATTATGTTTTGTCAATAAAAGAAAATGTCCATAATCATAAGGTCATATTAAATAGGTTGTAATTGCATCAGTTCTATTATTTTTTTTATTACTAAGTCCTGCTTACACTAATATCCTCCTATTAAAAGATCCTGATAAAAGCCGGCTCGCTCTTACGATTGCTTTATCAGCTGTGCATTCGAATACTCTTTGAGCAACAATTTCAGCCAATCACCTGTTATTTTTGACATGCATCCCAGAGACAGCTCGACCCTATTTTTATGCAGATCAAGTCCCGCTTAAGAGCAGAATCGAGCAACGTGTTGTTTTGGATTCGCTGCCGGCGGGGAGAGTAATAATGCCAGGGAGAGTTCTATCCATGGCGCGTCCAATACTCTGAGAAGTAGTAAATTAAGTGAGCAGCGTGTGAGTAGAGCCGAAAAAAACGACGCAAGATTACAAATTTTCTCTGTTTTGATTTTGATGCTGCTGCTTCAGCTGGACACGAGAAATGTTACCGCCGCTTTAAAAGTCCAATCAGCATTAAAGCAGTGAGCGTATTTTAAAGCTGGCAATACTGAGCGAGAAGCATTGGGTGGGCTAGGGTGGTTAGAGAAGCATGGGGAGCGACAGCGTAACAGTGCACAGTAGGCCGCAATGCATAAGAGCTGCAGCGATGTTTAAATGTGTGTTAAGAGCTACAATCGAATGACTCTTTCACCACTGTGCGATTGGCTGGCTGCCTGAAATTTGAACGGCACGACATTGCTTGGCCTCGCAACAGCCTCGTCTCTGTCGCACCACCCCCCTTGGCAACCTTATCATTGTTTTTGTTCTTGTTTCAGTTGTCGAAGTCTATTTAAAAAAACGAAAACATGCTAAAATTTGTTCAAAACGTATACGCAAAGTGATTTGAACATATACACATACACACGTACATCTGTATATTTGCACGAACAATTCCACATGTATTTGTATGGGTATAAATAATTATGTACGCACGCATGTACGTATGTATGTCAAATATTTGTTTGGCTTTTTACACATTTGAATATTATATGCATTCGTTTAGCTTTTGGGGAAGGGGACAATCAAATTATGGACCCATTTTTAGCCAACATTCACTAAATAATATATGTATTTTGTTTTACTTTTCCGCAACAGAACAAAGCATGTCCGCGTTTCGAATGTCGTCGCAATAATAAACTCATTTTAACATACAAATTTTAACCTGTGACTGCTGCAGAGTGGCGGCGGCAGCAGATTCCCTCTCCTGCTCTGCTGCTGCTGCAATTGCCGAGATACAAACGGAGAGGTTTGACACAGTTGAGAGGAGAGGCCAGTGGCGCGCGTACTCCAAGAAATTTTGAAAAGCAGACCAAATACTATCCAAGAGTTTTTGTCTTTCATTATTTAGCTTTCCCATAATACCACTATGTGTGTGCGCGTGTGAGTGCGCACTCAGCGACCCACACACACACACAAACACACACACACAGACCAAAGACACTCCCGACACGTTGAGAGACGGGAAAGAGTCCAGTCGCGCAATTCTCTGTTATTGTATACAATGAAATCTTTTGAATTTACAACTACAAGAAAGTGTATTCAAAGTTCGCGTTTAAAGACCGAATTTAACCATCACAGACCTACTAGCCGGATTATTCCTACAACCCTAACATGTTTAACAAATTAAATAAAATACTCTACACTTTTGAATTAAATAAATAAATAAAAACAAACCGACCAATATAACTATAATAAATATATATCTAAATAAGGACGAGATAAGAATATAATATGCTTGCAAATATTCATTGGGAAATTATGAATATTTAGTACGAGAATTTAGGGGAATAAAACAATAAATAGATTTTGAATAAGATTGTTTATAAACTAAACTTATCTAGTTTGTCATCCAATGGTAACAATTTATCATCTTATTACTACTTATTAGTATAAATTTCTTATAGGCATTTTAAGAATGGGAACAGGAAATGTGCTGGATCCGGAACGTATAGATTCACCTCACTCACCTGTTGTGGTTGGCAACTACTTGCTCGGATTGCACCAGGCAACTGTCTGGTAACCAATCGTGTTGCCAGTAGATTCCTCATAGGCAAACACGCAGTTCTTGTTGACAATAACCGACAGTCGCACCTTGGCAATCAGTTCCAGGGGACGTATGACAGACGTTGGTTGTATGATGACAATGTGGGAGGCGTGGTAGAGCAACGGATCGCCGGGATAGACCAAGAAGTCGGCACCGAACGCATCGCCACACGTGACAAACTTGCCACGCTTCCAAAGATCATGAAAAACCCGATATTTAAGCGAGCTGGTGTCGTAAACTGGAGTAGTGCAGAGCTGCGAGACTGTAATAACAGACAAAAAACGTAAGTATAAAGTATAATAAGTCGGCAATTGAGGTATTTCAGGTACCCACGGTGATATTCCATGTGCGAGCAAGGCAGCTCCACGAGGGCATTCTGGCGATCAAATTCAAAATTGTTGGCAACTTCATGGAACACATCTCTTGCGGTTAGTGCAGCAGCTGTTGTGAAGAGATGAGGAATTATTAGATTAAAACCCTCTAAGAAAATATCTGCCACTGCTTGTGTGGACCATAAGATTCTTGCACTCACCCTCATCGGGTTTTCCTTGCTTTATCAACTTGTTGCGTTTGCCGATTATAATTTTGTCCACATGGCGTCTGGTTTCGCGCAGCTTTTCCGTCTTTAAGGCATCTCTCTGTGCCATTAAACGGGACTCAAAGTCCCTTTGATAGGCCTGCAGCATATCTTGAGTTGGAGGCTTGGTTAAAGCTTCCGCTTTGCTGACCAGAACGGCAAGGCCTTCATCTACGAGCAACTGTGTCTCGTATTTAGTCAGCTCCAAGGGCAGGGCTAAATGATTACCCATGTGATTATAAGAATTGATTTCGACTAGGAGTACGCTCTTACCTGCTTCACTCGAGCTCCAACCTTTGGTGTTGGCCGTGCCCACAAGAGCTCCCATTATGCGGTATTTCGTGCGCAGTTCCATATAATCTAATGAAGCTCGTCTTAATATTATCTTCCTCACAGCTGATTTAGCTTACCGTTCACATCGAAAACATATCCGGTGCCATTTAGCAATGTTAAATACATTTTCATTTATATTTTTCTTTTTATAACAAAACCCATATGATTTTGGCATCGACAGACTTAACATTTTTCTAAACTGTTATTAACAGCGTAGACGTATTTTCTGGAAATAAAATTGTTTTCGGTTTGCAAAAAGAAAAACCTTACATTAATATGTTATTGTATGCTGTGCTAGGAGACAAAATATTTCCAAGCAAGATTTTAACAAGGACATGTTGAAAAAATAAAGAAAATAAACTTAAATTTGAATTTAACAGTTGCTTATTTGGCTTAGACAGTGCCATAACATAGGCCGATTATCGATAACTCCGATGAGCTAGCTCTGCATGCTCTTAACAACACTGTTGTCTAAAATTTTGTGCTTAACAACACTTTAAATTTAATGCCAGTTTTATTGTTGTTATTATCTTCGAAGCGTTTAGTTAACTTTTTCAGCTTATGCATTAATAACGCGAGTGTTGCAATAATTTCCAAATGCTTTTACATAATTAACTGAGCAAATGCGGTAAAAATGTAGTCATTTTCTCATCAAGTGCGTGCGAATTTGCAAAGCGTATGGCAAAAACTAAGCAAAACGACGAAGACACCACCCACAAAACATACAAATTTAACATTTGCGTTTGGTTTCTTCGCTCAATCAGTTCCTATTAGCGCAATTGGCGTGTCGTTAGAGTAAAGTTGCGTAAATAGCACACTGATTGTGCGTTATTTGTGGAGCCGCAATTAACTAAATATTACGTGCAGTGAGTACCAGCAAGCACCGAATACCGCATACTGTTGAGCGGGCTCGCGAGGGTAGCAGCGTGCATGTGTGTGTGTGCGTGTACATGGGTGTGTACGTGTGTGCGTGTGTGCCTAGCTCCCACCGGGAGCGCAGTTGCTAATGTTGTTTATTTATTTATTTATGTTTGTCTATTGTTGGCGTCTATTTATCAAATATGTGTCATAACTGTTAATGCTAACACATTATCCAACCACGCGATTCGAATTATCTATGCTGGCTACCTCCAGCCTTTTAGTAAATTTATTTTCTAATCATAAGAAATACGTTGAACCAGCTAAAAATCATTCTGGGTTGAGCTGGCACTAATCAGATTTCAATCTTAAATGTTTGTGATGATGATGGCTATGTAAATCAGCTTCAGCCTACGCTTTACATACACATAGGTCAGATTTGTAAAGCTGCATGACTAATAATATTCACTGTGATTTTTACAGTCCGATATTTATATATATTAGTGCAGTCTAGACTTCCGTAAAGGCTTATTATAATAATTATCAGTCAGAATATAGTTGTGTAAACTGTGTGTACACAGTGTGTTTTTGCTCATTAACGAGTATTAGCTCATTTACTTATACGTTTTTCGTCTATCTTTTAGCTGACGGAGAACCCACCGACGATCGAACGGCCGACCAGACAATAATAAAAACAACAATAGGAACAGATACAAAGCATTTGGCGCTTGGCCATGTAAATAGATTTTTTATTTCGCACACATAATATGTACACTATTAGATGCAGCAATATATTATACAAGTTTTGTTGTTTTTGCAGGTCATGTGGCGAGAACTGCGACAGCTGCCACACAAAAGACGTTAATAACGACGTACACGGCTGAGGGTAAGCCAACAGAAACGACAAGCACAACATTAGAAGACTTTCCATACTTGTTAAACGTTTCAACCTTCGCCCACCCACTGGCTAAAATGGGCGGTGTACAGCCCTCTTATATTGCCGCCTGCATTAGTCATAGAAACGTGGAATGAAAATGAGGACTACTGCGACGATAGCCAACAGTTCAATTGAGGCAACGATGAGGCGACGAATTGCACAACAAAGCCGAGCAACAATATTGAAACTGGTAAACGTTGGCATTTTGTTAAAGCCAAAAATACATCTGCTTGTTAGAACGGTCTGCGGCTTTTCATATCAAATTTAAAAATGCTTTTAGATATTTTGCCAATTTCTCCATAAAATGAGTATGCGTATCTTTCTGTCATTAATGGAGTCTCTTCTGATTGCAGGCCATATAACTTAAGGCGTTGGTTGCCCATAAATGGTTCAAAAGCGATACTCCTAAGAAGGCTGCAATGAAATTTGGTATGTAAGACTGGTTATCTATACCATTGGATAGTATTCTAAGTACCTTCGTTTTCCACACATTTCTTGCAGTCTAAAAGACAAACGACACAAGACCAAGGCAACCTGCAGTCATCAACATGTTCAAGATTCGACAACGTAATTGCATGCTTATTGCCACGGTGCTCATACTGGTGCCATGCATTGTGATATTGATGGTATTGGGCCCGGAACTATCCACCGAACAGTCGCTGACGCAACGGCTGGCCGAGTGTCACATGCGATTGCAGTACCTGGAGTCTATGTATCGTGCACGCCAGGAGGATGTCTCACTGCTCTCACAGTACTTGGGTCAGCTGCAGTACAACAATGGGAGCAATGTGACAAATGTTAGTCCACCGCCACAGCCGGTGGCCAATTTGCTGGACGCGCTTAGTCCAGAGGCACGTCAATTGCTGCGCAATGCATCACACGTGTCGAGATCGGGCGCCGTTGGGTCGTCCCGTGGCTATATGCCCGTGCAAAATATACGTCTGCCAAATGCTTATCACTTTCTGCCACATTTACTGGACGATGCTGGCTCCTTGCGCCCGGCCTATTTGCTGAGCAAAGGACGCACAGATGTTAGCATTGTGCTGGGCGTGCCCACCGTACGACGCGAGAAGCAGTCGTATCTGCTCGCCACGCTGCACAATCTAATTGAGAACATGAACGATGAGGAGCAGAATGAGACGCTTATCATTGTTTACATTGGCGAAACGGATTTGGATGCTGTCCAGCTGATAGCCAAGCAAATTGAGACAAGCTTTGAGGCGCATGTGGAGAGCGGACTAATAGACATAATAGCGCCAGCGCCCAGTTACTATCCAAACTTTGAGCGATTGCGCATTACATTAAACGATCCTTTGGAGCGCGTGAAATGGCGTAGTAAGCAGAATCTAGATTTTGCCTATCTTATGGCCTATGCGCACTCAAAGGGCACTTTCTATGTGCAGCTAGAAGATGATATATTAACTAAGCGACAGTTTATAACCACCATGAAGAAATTTGCACTTATCAAGAGCGCTTTGACAAAGCCAGACCAGCCTGCCTGGTTTGTTTTAGACTTTTGTCAACTTGGCTTTATTGGAAAAATGTTTAAAAGCGCTGAGCTGCCCTACCTAATTACATACTTTCAAATGTTCTACAATGATAAGCCTGTCGACTGGCTGCTTACCTATTTCATTGAGTCAAAAGTATGTCGCACGGACAAGGATCAGAAGCATTGCAATTTGGAGAAGGCCAAATATTGGCAGCATTTTCGTAAATCCCTTTTCCAGCACATCGGGACCAGTTCCTCGCTCAAGGGCAAAGTACAAAAGCTTAAGGACAAACAATTTGGCAGCAAGGTTCCATCTTACTATGCACACATGAATAATCCTCCGGCTGTGGTCAAGTCAAATATAGCGCCATATAAAAACTATTTGCTGAAGCGCGCCTATCGCGGAGAAACATATTTTTGGGGTCTATTGCCACAGCCCGGTGACTTGGTGCAGTTCACCTTTGAGCAGCCAACACTGCTACGTCGCTATTTATTTCGCAGTGGCAACTCTGAGCATCCTTCGGATCGTTTCTACAACACCACCGTGGAGCTGCTCCCGGCCGATAGTCTAAGCGAGAATTCATCCGTTTGGAGTACGTACAATACAACAACGGATGGTTATCTCGTGGTGGGTGCATTTGATGGCCTAGGCGTCGCCGAGGGCCTGCTCGATCCCAAGATTGGTGCCATTAAGGAGCTGCGTCTTCACGTGCACAGCGACAGTGAGAACTGGGCGCTGCTTAGCGAAATTGAGCTTCAAGAGATGGACAACAGCGCCAACAACGCGGAAGCAAATGCCGCCAAGCCGCGCTTTATCGCAGTCAGCTGATTGCTGCATCGCCATCGGCAGCAACAGGATGATTATAGTGGAGATCTAACCAAACATTGATGTTTTCCTAACCTATTCATCTATATCTCTCAGTGTGTATATGTTTGTATATTTTTTGAGCGCTACTTTTAAAGCCTATCGTCTAAATGTGTAAATAACTAACCTCAAGGTATAATCATAAAGTTTAACTGTAACTATTTATAATTGTAAAGCACAGTTTACACGTGTATCAGATGTTTACCTAAATATTTGTACAACATTTAATTATTTGTGCTAAAACAAACTACTCATTATAATTTAAAAGTTGAAGCAACGTACATTATTTTTGCTAATATCTGTCACGTGTGAATCGAATTGTAACTAATACTACATTTATACGTGCACGATTATCGTGTCGAATCGAATATTGAATACTGAAGTCAACTTATGGATGAATTGAACACACAACTTGTAAAATCCATAAATGTCATGCATAAATGCCTTTTATACAAGGTATTTAAAAAACATCAAGTTCATCTACATTTGAACAGCCATATTTATAAAAAAAAACCAACCTGATCGTGATCTTGTGCATATGCTACAGCGCACGACTTTCATTCTATTCCCGCATGATCCATATAAGATCCAAGTGCCCCTCCATTTGTTCATTGTGTTATATACATTTTTTGTACAAGAAAATTGTTTATGAATAGTTGTGCTATGTAACTGAGCGCTCTGAAATCATTCTCTGTATTGAACTATGTTTTATTTTGTTATTTACTGTGCATTTCTAAGTATTTATTTTAAGTGTTATCCTCACCAATTGGCCACTTTCTCGAATTGAAACATTCCAGTCACTTTTGCTGCTATTTTTGTTGCTGAATTTCAAACACATAATTTATTATTAATACGAATCTCGAAACGAATCCAGTTCTCAATGGAACAGAAATTGTCAATCAAATATATTTATTTATTGTTTACTCATTTCATTGTTTATTTATTAATATATCATTTTAGCTACAGTTACATACGTATTGCAGCATCTAAACAAAAGCCATAACAGCCGAATAAGTGTATAATAATAATAAATAATCTTCAAAGCATATTCAACAAGAAATGCATTACGACCATTTTTAGCAATGTTGCTTTTTACTGTGATTTGTTAATAATTTTTGCATAAACACCTACAAACGAAATTAAATATAAATTAAAATGTTTGACAACATTTGCTGATAGACGACTTAACAAAAGTAATCTTTTTATACAACAAAAATGATAACAATAATAATTACATAATTGTAATTATATTAAGCAACAATTGGAAGAATTGCCAAATTTATTTTAGCGTTTAAAAATTGAATAGTAATTATTGATACTTGGTTCCTGTTGAAAAACATATATTATTAATTATAGTGGCATATTCTAGTATATATTCGGAAAATTCTGCTCTAATTGGTGCTTCAAAATATTGTTCGATTAAACGAAATGCGTTAAAGTATTTTTTAAAATGATTAATGCCAAAACAAACGAACAAATATTGTAGACTGCTTTGCTAAAATGTTATAGAAACTGATGTCACATTGAATATTTCGTTTGCTTGATTTTAAATATATTATATACATATACATACATATATATATATTTTTTATATATACATGTTCAATGTACGTACTTCTAAAGCCACAATAATTTTGCACACGATTGGAAAAGTTTTCTTGTTTTAAACTTTGCAATTACAATAGACCTTAATGTTGAGTCAGAGTTGGAATAAACTTAGTGCAAACAACTAGCTAAATATATGTATATAAAGCGTTTCCCGCACACAAGCTGCAAGAATCGTTTGTTGTCAATTTGCGTTTATCCTTTACAAGCAATCCTTTAAAAATTATAAAACAGCTGAAATGCACGCTTGTTAAACCCTAATGAAACATGCGTGCAATTTGTGTGCAAGCTTAATAAATCAAACAAAAACATTTAAACAAAAGTGATTTGCTTTTATCCTGTTGAAGGTTGTTAAGGCCCGACAATTGCCAATATAACTTCTTTTCACACCTCTGAAGAGGGATTCATTTGATTCTTTATGAACTCAATTGAAATATGCTTTCATTTAATCTGAAATTATGATTTTAATTAAACTATTTAAGTTTTAATAATTGTTGAATTGCAGCGTCGAAACAAATTTTATTACATTCATTATACTATAATGAATGAAAATATAAATGATTTTTCCACTCAAATAAGCTTTAAGTGCGAGCCCGCATTCAAATTTTATCTTTATAAATCGACTTGGATGCGGACCGATAAATAGTTGAAGGTTGTTTGTATAAATATATTCTTGAATTTGCTATAAATCAGAAATACAAATATTTGTACAATATCAAATTAATTGTGCAGTAAAAACAACTATTAACTATTTATCGATCCGTTAGAAAATATTTTCAGCACTATTTGGCCATTCGTTTCGCCTTTTGAGCCCAACTAAATAAACTGTCCGTCAAGTGCAGAAAAGCGGTTGGGAAAACAGTTGAAAATTGAATTGTGCAACTTTTAAAGTTTACAATGGACGCAATTGTTATGAGTGGGTTCTTTGAATGGGACTGCGGTTGCGCCATGCAAATAATAATAACAGTCGAATTGCTGAAATAAAGAAACCCCAAATAAAAGTTCGACAATATATTGTCCCTTTTTATACCCTGTATCCATTTAAAATGGTTTAAAGTGGGCGTAATGGATTTTTCTTAAAAGGCGACAGCTCTGAATTCCACAAAGTATATATATTCTTGATCTGAGCAAAGATCTGTACAAATCTCGGATACTACAAAAGCTAAGGACTTGAAATATTATAAAAATATGCTCGAATATCATATTTAGAAAGAGATTATCTTTTTTTCGATATCTCTTAAAACGTCTCTTCTGAATCGTCATTCCTTAGGCATAACAAAAGGATAATACCAAAGTAGGTAGGCAGCCTCTCTCATAGCATGTTCAGTTCAAGTTCTTCACAGCCTTGAAAAACGCGCATCACAGGATATCTCCTGGTCGGGCACTCTTCACTAGGGCCCTTCTGTCGTTTTATTTTGTTTGGGTCGCCACTTGAAAATGTCGCCCCAGTTGCAAACTGTTTAACTGTTGATAATTTGTGCAAAGTTTTCAGCTACCATTTGGTTTCCCTTAGTGTTATCCGTATCGCCGGGGACTGGGCAGAGGGCGGTTGGCGAGTTTTTCGGGTTTAAGCTTTTTTCCATCTTGTTGGACGGATATTCGAGGAGCACTAAATGTTGATGGGCTTTTTATTGACTCACCTGCAGCTGGCCGCTGTTGGCTCAGGTGTATTTATTTCAATTCTGTTTTTTATTCTAAAGCATTTGTACAAAGTACTTTGATTTAGAGAAAGGAAAGATATACATCAAGGACCATTGTACATAGAAAATAATGTCCTGTTTTGAGTTAGATTCTAGTTTAGGTTTAGTTGCAGTAACTTAAGCTAGCTTACCCTCGTTTTTATCAGACCATAACGGATCTATTGTGACTCATCCAGGCATAAATCTGCAAAGCTAGATCTGACAGATCCAAAAGTTTCTGGATAATAAATCCAATTTAGCAGTCAGAAGATGTGCAGAAGATATGTATGCCCCTTTTCGACTTCCTTATACCAGTATCATCTGCAGAAGACGTATCTAAGGGTCCAGCGTTAAGAGAGCCGAAAAGCCAGTGTGCCATAATCTGTTATCTGTTTAACTCGCAGTCTAATTAACAGTTATGTGGATGGCGTTTCAAAAGTAACAGCGTAAGAGAACACAAGAGCGAGCTTTCAACGCCCACAACAGCCCACTGTACACAGAGAGAGAGCGTCAGGCTGAAGGATGTGAAGCGTTGTTTTCTTCGCCTTCCATCATATATAGTACATGTATCATAAACAATGCTCGTGACCAGAAGGAACTCACAGCTGAGTTGGCTGAATATTAATGGCATCATTTGCAAATCGTCATGTCCTGTTATTGGGTAATGTTGAGGCGCCGAAAGTGGTGCTTACAAGGATATTGACGCAGGGATTTGTTTTGGAATCCTTTGTGCAAACACGCTGAAGGAAAAACAATACAATAACAAGGCAAGTGAATTCTGTTTCATATTTCTGACTTTCGTGTCTAATCTAATGTGCAGTCTTAGATGAAAGCATAATATTATAAATTAGATTTCAGCTGTATTGATTGTTTCTCCATTTAATAGCAAAATGTACCGGAATATCGGAACTAAAGTAACAAACCGAAACATAATAAATGTTATCACAATATAAACAATTGTAAATTGTATAAAATAAAGCGTTTGCTTTAAAATGTCAACGATATAATTTTAACCAGTATTCATTTTATTTTTATACTTTAAGGTTCATTGCGGCAAATGATGGAGATACGACGCGTTTTCTTTACGGGATTGCCAAGAAACTGGGAATGCTCGTTTCCCAGAATTTCATGTGTAAAATTGTACCGCGCCGTGTGGCTCATTATGTAAAGCGAGCGGCGTGGCAAAAGCAGATCCGCATAGAAGTTGTTCTCTAGCAATGCCTCCGGCTGCTGGCGATACGAGGTATCTTCGGTGCTAGCATTGGAGCTGTTTTGCTGATACTTTTCGGCGTCAGCACGCACCAGACGCATGACGCTGTCGCTGAGCAAACTGATCCCCGAAATGGTGTTTCCGCAGTACTGTGGAAGCAGGCAAGCATCAGTTATTTGACAAGAATTAAACTCTAGGCTCGACAGACTCACGCGGGTGCTGTCTACATGGGGCTTGATGACGCCGTCAGGCGCTAGATCCAGAATGTGCACGTAGGGCATAATTTCGCCATTGAAGGCCACCTGACGCACGCGCTCCAGGAGCTCCCGGTTCTTGGGATACCATTTTTTGCGCTCAGTCTCCCTAAAGCCATGTATGGCCTGCAGGAAACTCAGTTATGCTTGCATCGGCTAAAGGCTGCGTGCCCGGTACTCACATCGTCCCAGTGGTCAAACTCGTAGCGTAGCCGGCTCATATACGGTTCGATTTCCTCATGCAGCTGTTTCTCCTCTGCCTCGCTGATGAAGTCCGGCACAATACGCATGTGCTGCTCAAAGTCTCTTCGCTCCGTTGGCGGCCAGACCCCATGGAAACATGTCAAGCTGGTGCTGTTCTTATTTGCTGCGACTACGTTGAAGCAAAAAAGCCTTTGAAGTTTTCATAATAATGCGACAGCGTTTTTCACTTTGATACATGTAAACACAATTCATTTGCTTATAACTGGGAAAACAATACATACCTGCGCGGTGACAACGTCGCAGAATTTGTCTAATTAATGTGCCTCGATATGAAATAACCATTATAGTCCGTAGTCTGGTCGACAAAGTCCTGGCCACAGCTGTTTCGGTTATTCAATAACAGATAAGATTCGGCACTTACCCAACCCTGGCGCCATGCGCGCACAAATTTGTTTAGTTATCGGTATCGGTTATCGGTATTTGAAAATAAACGACTAGGTACGTTACCTTTAAACACAATTAGACCTTGTATATTGCTTAAGTTTTAATTAATTATCTATGACTACTGGTGCGGGGCCAATTTCACAACAAAATTCAGCTCAATCTATTTTATTGGATTACCATTTACGGCTACGGATTTTACCTGCCACAAAATTAAAAGGGTTGCGAACGCAAACAAACAATTTGTAACGCAATATAAAAGGGACGACGGTTGTTTGTGGGATAAAGGAGGGGGAAGGGGTTGTAAAAATAGCCGCACAGCAATTCAGCGGAATGTTGCTTGGTATTTTTCGAGCAATTTGACGACCCGGCCGCAAGCTGATTACATCAATGCAAATGTAAAGGGCGTTGGCGGCACGAGTTGTATCAGATTGAGACCCTCCTCTCTTCCCGCGGAGTCTATTCTTTTACATTAAATGGGAACAGCATTTTTCGTTGGGTCTACAATAAAAAACCCTCAGCTCTCGACTGTGTATCTCTCGTATTGTTCATCTGTGCCAACGTGCGTTGGTGTGTAAATGATAAATGAGCGACACCGTCGCCCGTACGTTCCACGGTTCCGGCACCTAAAGCAACACCATCAACGGGCTATTAGGCGCTATTGTCCCTTAACGTTGTTTTGTTTCCCCCGTGTGTTGGTCTTTGTCAACTAAAAAGCTCTGTTCTTCTGACTTTTTTATGTGTTTCTGTGCATTTTCAGAAACTTCCGGTTAACATTTAGGTATCGAACTTAAGTTCGCACGTTGTAGACAAAATTGTATTTGTTAGTTATTTTTATGTGGTTGATTCACACATTCTTTATTTAAACAATAATTTTTGGCTACATTCATAGCCTTTTTTATACAACTAATCTAGATATTATATAAAAATATTTGTAAAGGAAGGCTAAACTATAGTATTTAAAGCAAAACTATGGCTTGGGTCAAGTTTTAAAAGGTTTTCTCTTTCATGTAGCTATTAAACATGTTAGACTGCAGGTTTATCTGCAGATTGTTGGCGGTTTAACTTCAATTTTATAAAACTTAATTGGATTTCATACTACGTTGACCTATAGGAACTTAAGTAACGTATGATACACGAGCACAACATCCATATTGTTATTGTAGGGTCGGCATCTAATTTTGTGTAAGCCTTGGATTTCGTTTTTGATTCAGCGCCCGGGACAAAAGCATGCGCTTGTGCTCCAGCTGTGTGCAGAGGCCGAAGGATTGCAAGAACGACTCCTTTGGACTTGCCGGTTTGGCATCGCAGTTTACCTGCTTGTTAAGACGGGCTCGCTTCAGCGCCGCCTGCAAATGAAGGCGACTGGCATTTACCGCATCGGTCTTACTGGCAGCCTCAGAGGCTGGCGCAGCAGGCTTTGTGGCTTGTTTGGCGGGCGCTTTTGTCACAGCAGCGTCTGCGTCCGGAATTGGTTTCTTTTTTGGCGCCGCCGATTTGATGGGTTTAGGGTTTTCGTCTTTGGTCCTTAACGAAGCTTTTGTCTTTGGCTCTGTGCTGACGGTAAAGTACTTGCGTAGCAACTGACTTTCTGTGGGACGCTCTGCCACCGAATGGGGCTTAAATGGCAAAAGGCTGCTACAGACGAGAGGAACCACGGCTTCGCTGACCATTTCATTGATCAAATTGCCATTGGGTTGCAGCTGTTGCTCCGTAAAGGGTAGACAAAAGTGGTAAATGTCCTCTTCCAGCCGAATCAGCAAATATTTGCACTCTGCATTGATTTCGTGGAGAACCTCTTCTATCTCAAGCAGATAGTTGTTCTTGGTCTCCGGGTCCTGAGCGTGTACAATACGGAAAGAAATTAAACCAAATAACTGATAGATGGTGGCAATAACTTACTGCATCTGGTTGCTCGGCAAAAACATTTGTGATTGTCTGCAAGAGTCGGTAAGAACGTTAATTAATGAAAGCCCAGTTAACAATAAGCGGTACATACCTGATGGACAGCCAAATAATTTTTCAAAGCGCGCTGACAATAGATAATGTCGTCGAGCAGGTTTGATGGTATCTTGTAAAATTGTTTTAGATAATACTGGAAGAAGCTATGCGCACTGTGCATCGAATTGGCCTTACGCATTTTGATCAGGAATGCTGTGATTATCTCATGACGCTCCTTAACGGAAAAGTCGTTAAAGTTTATAGATTCCATTTTTCAACAAATATAAATTGACGCATCAATGTTCGTGTGTTTTGATTATGTTTTGATGCTTGTTTGCCGCTTATTTTTACGCAGGGGTGATCATATCCTATCGATTAATCGATATTTTAAAGATATCGTTGCTTAACTATGCTACACAAATCTTATAAGTTTTCGATACGTTCACCAGCACTATTAAAACTAAATTGCTGCTGTTTCCGATAAGTAATCGATCATGCGCGCCTTATTTGAAATAATAATCTGCTACTTAGCATCAAAATTCTCTATATCGTATGAAAATTGTTTTTAATTCTTAAATGTATTGTAATTAAACTTTTTAAATAATTTCTACCAATAGAAGTAAAAGCGACATCCCATAAATATACTGAAAGCTAAGATGTCGAAATCATTTGTAATCATTTTTATGGTTTTCCTTTCTAAATGCCTTGGGCATAGGAAACTTGGCACTTGTTGTTTAAAATTTTGTTCGGTCCCTTGCCGTTTATCAAATATGCATTTTGTTTTCTTTGGATGCTTTTTAGATATTCTTTATGAAATCCTGCGCAACTTAAAGGCTTTTTAGCGCCGGCACATACTAGAGCGCAAAACTTTGCCAAGCGACGCAGTGACCGCAAAAGGGTCTAACCAATTCCACTTCCTCCTGACTAGACACACCATAATCTCTAAGGGGCTTTGTCGTCGCCACAGCAACAAAACTCGAAGAAAAGCTTAAACCACACAAAACCACAAACAACAAACTTAAATCTTACAATAAACTCTGCCCTCTAAGTCGAAATGGCGAACAATCAAGCAAACTTAAAGCTCCGACTGCAAACTCATATCTTGCCCAAGATTGCTCACTTTTTTCTCACCCAAAAGGGTGAATTTAATCCGCGCATTCATTCACAGTCCATCAGTCAGTTTTATATATATATATATATATTTTTTTTTTGCAGATTTTAATTGGGTTTAAGTTTATACATATATACTTGAAGATTTTTAAGATACAGAAGAAGTGATTAAACTTAAGATATTAGAAAGATTGGTACCAGAATAAGTTTAAGGCAATCTTTTAAACACAGAAAAGTATTGTTTTAGCTTTACAAGAGTGAATAAAATGATGTTTGTTATTAAAATAGATTGTATCCAGAATAACTCCAGAATAAGACAAGGGAAACAAATGATCAATCCGGTTTCAAGATTGTTGTCATACTTTACAGTGTGTGATATGACAAGACTTAAAGGATTTAAAGGATGTTTCCCTTCAATTTTATTTTTCACGCATCGGTTACTCAGAAATTGTTGCCTTCACTTTTTGGCGGGGTTTCCAAGCTGTCCGTGAAAGCGTGCTGCACATTTCATTTGATGTTTCCGTATCTTGCCCCTGTTGTTAGTCAAAAGATAGCTCGGCGGTTCCATGTCCATGTTCAGGTTAAACGACATTATCTGTGAAACGAGATTGTCAACCTCTTCGTTGTCCACACGGATGGGGCGATTAATTGCGCTGTTGCTGGACTGTACGAACTTGTTGCATATTTTAAACTTGGCCATGTCAAGCTCCTTTCCCTGGAATTTGTACATCTTAATGGTCTTCTTGATAATGGAGGTTCGCATTTGAAAATCGGACACCGTCTTTATAAGCACCGCGACCGCAATGTCACAGCGACTGTGCTCCAGGTAGTATCCATCCGTTTGGCAGCTACTAATGATGGCCATCAACAGTTCAGGCAGCGGTTGGCCCAAAGCTGCTGCCAGCTTCGGCATGTCCTCCTTGGCAAAAACGGCGCCGGCCAACGGAGTGAGCACAATCTCTTGGCGCTTCACGAGATGCGGCATCATTTGGCAATACTTCGCCACCGCCAACAGGCTGGCCTGCTTGAAGGTGAGCTCCAGAATGCCATTCACCACCAAGGGCTGCTGCTGCGGCGGTGGCTTTGTCGCATTCATCGTTATGATCACTTTGTTCTTTAGCGACTTGCCCTGCTCGTCTTGGGTTTCCAGCGTCAACTTCCATAGCTCGTTTTTGCCCTGTCTCTTGGCCAGCTTGACCTGCTTGCTGCACTCGAAGATCACCTGCTCGGCAAAACGGCGACTCACTGTGGCATTTGCATAGCTCGGCTCGTCGCAGAAGTCCGGACAAATCTCAGTGAATGTTTCGATTAGCTTTTGAAAATCGAAAATGTACTTTGGTGTCTTATTTTCGGTCATCCTTTTGGGATTCTGCAAAGAAAACCATATAAAGCTAATAGCATTTATTTAGGACTATTGTCGTAGGTCGTTTTAATCAGAAATATTTTCGAGCAACAGTTACGGATATTGATAACACTTTAAATCAGCAACAGAGCAGATGCCCTGTACTCAGCGTAGAAATTACAAGCGCTTGGACTATATTTTACACATAAACACACACACACACACATTATTATTTTTTAAAATTTTTGGGGAATTCCCTTATTGTGTTGTGTGCATAGTATATTAGAAAATAATAAAAAAAAACAATAGAATGGGCACTAACCGACAAATATTCCGATGTTTCCGCTGCTGCGTATGGTTCGAGACTGAAGATTGCCCGATCGAAGTACGCGGCATAAATAAAAATCGACGTTTGAGCGATGAGAGATGAGAGCTGAAAGCCGATACGTTTCATGTGTATATATGTACATATAAGTATATATAACTTATAAGTATATGAATCATGGACCAAAAAAGTGCAGTGGATGCAATTGAGAATGTTGATAAGTAAAGAAGAGAAGAAAACGTTTCTCGCTTCAATAAAAATATATGTAAGCGATTTTTTATATTGACAGCTGCCTTCAATTTTTGCAAACAGGGCTGCAAAATGCAATTGTCAAAACAAATAAATAAAAATCGTGCAACAATGTAAATAAATATGGACACTTCCAAAGATAATATGTATAAAGTATCTATATGATGATTCCATTTAATATCGATATTGATCAATTTTCAAATACGTAGAAAACTCTATATATGTTGTATCAATTCCATGTGTGTATCAACAGAGCTGAAGAAAAAAAAAAATAATTTATAGAGACACACAATTTGGAAATTTTTGCTTTACCCTACTTAGATAAATTCTCATTTATTCTCAGGCCTAGCTCCACACATACCCAAAATCGATAAGAGTTGACTTTTAGCGTTTGCTTTTTTCTTTCTGCATGTCCCTAACAAGAGCGCAATTTTCATAGTGTGGAAAGATAAATAAGCAAAAAAAATTAAAGCTTAACTCTAAACAAAAGTCAAAATGTAAGAATGTTTTCCTAAATTGGAATAAACTGGTGCGATGAAATATGCAGAGCTTAAGGCATAGTGTCTCAACATGTGAAGCCTAAATACCATTTAGTATATAAGTAAGCAGATTGAATGGAAATAGTTAAGGATTTTATGTCCGTTGGGTCGGCTCGGCCTCTAAAAAGACTCAAAGTGGCTGCTAGTGAACCATTTGCATATGCGTGGGTGGCATTTTTGTTATTGACTCGCAGGGCCCTGAGTTGTTATCAATTTGCATATGAAATGCTTGTCGCATATCCGTTGTATTGATATATCGCAATGTCAAAGGAGGAGAGAAAAAAAAGCACAACCGAGTAGAAAAGCGAAATAGCAACGACAACAAAGGGCATAACACAATGCAAAATGCAGAGCAGAGCAGAGCAGAGCAGAGCAGGGTATATCGCCAGCTGACAAGTGACACTTTTTCAAATTGAATTTTTCATTGGCCCCCAAACGAAACGGGAGGCGACGGAAATTCAACAACCGGTGACCAGGCAAGTGCTCACGATTGAGTTATGGCTGTGTATGTGGTCCGGGTTATGCTACATATTGGAGCTAGCCGAGGGTTAGCTGTCAGCCCGATCTTTTTGATTGTTATGGAATATCGTATTGAACATATAAATTTTGAGAAATTATTACTAAATCAACATCAAACTGTGCATTTCTTATACATACAGGTGCTCAAATTATACTAGACTCAAATGTGCAATGGAGCCGGACTATAATGTCATATTGTTGCCAATTATATCGGCAGTTATGTTGTCTTACAATCGACCTGTAAGCTTGGATGAAATCGCCGATGGAGTCATGATATTGCTCAAATCGCAACGTGAAAAACACAGCACTCCTCTTTCTTCCAGTCTGGAGGGCACCTCCAATTCTAGCTACGCAAGGATTACACCTGCTAGGAAGAGAAATTGAAGCTGCCCTGCCGTTGGAATGACAAAAGGAAATATAATTAATGAATTCACTAATTGACCCCTCTCTAGCATTATCTAAAAACAAGAAGTTATTCGGCCACCAAATTGCAGGCATATAACAAATAAACCAATAAAACAACCTAAGCCACACTTGTTTTACGACAAGAAAAACGTCCACTTTTTGTGTGGTTAAAACAAATTGGCCCAAATTGGTCAGATGACTTGTTAAATGGTGCAGTTAAATGAAGATATACGTAAAGCAGCATAAGCTCTTCCCTTGATCAAGTTGAAAGTATATATATTCCCTATCAGTTGGTCTGTCCCTATTCAAACTAGTTTTAAAATTTGTATAGTTTCCCTATCCTATACTTTTAAGAAGTTGAAAATTAAGTTTTGAATTAAGCTCAGCAATTATGAACTTCATATCTGCAAAGCCCTAAGCTACAACAAGGGTTTTTAGCCAAGGGTATACAATCTTCGGCGTGCCGTAGGTATACGTTCTTGTTTTTATTAATTTCTTAGAAGACAATCAATTACTCCATGAAAATGTTAGCAAATTATATATTCAATCTTCAAATATAATGCCGCCTCATATCTAGAATGCATTTCCCCTTGAGTACGGTAAAGGGATAAAGCACATTCGCCGCGTATTTCGCAGCTTGCGGCGTGCGTGCTTTGATATGAATAGAAAAGATCTTGTATAAGAAACGCTTAATTTCCCAATATATTTTGACCAAAAGCGGATTTCATTAGCTATATATATCATTTAGCTCTGTAGAAAGAATTGCTTGATAAATCAGTAGGGATAAATATTTAGTTTGAAAAAAATCCGCCTTTCTCTATGCATATCGATGCATATACATATATATGCATTTATAGACGAATGATATTTAAGGTTCACTGCTCTTTTAAATCTATCTCTCAATTAATTTAATAATGTTTAAGATAAAAACTGGCTCGGTATTGTTGATTATTAACATACAAAATATAGCTGAGCTCGAATTAAAATTGCTTTCTTTGTCTTTCTGAGCGGCTCAGCACATTTGAACCAAGTGATCGAGCGAAAAGAAATAGTCGAGCATTGGACACGAGAAGTGAGAGATCGATTTTATTTTCAGCGGGTGAGTATATTTTTCTGTGGCGGCTAAATGTAAACAAAAATATGGCATGTATGTGTATGCGCATGTTTATATGAATATACTTATGAATATTGTTGCTTTTACCCTCTTGTATTTCAGTGCGCAGTAAAATAATGGCTGGCGGCTTCGACTTCAACAAACTATGTAAGACTTTTAGCGAGATTTGTCCCGACTTCAATCAATCGGATCAAGCGGCCACATCGCAGAGCTTGGACTTTGCCAACAAAGTACTATTCGACCTTGGGCCCAAAATGCGGCACATCAAGCAGAGCGGCACGGCGCAGATGTGGCGCCTCATCTTCAGCGGGAACACAAGCGTCTTCATTTACACTTACACCTTTAGGAGCCCGATCAACGTTAATCCGCATCTGCAGGACAAGAAGCTTTACCTAACTCTGAAACAGGCTGGCCTGTTGGCCGCCAGCAAACTATGCTCCCAGCTGGCCAATTTTTATGATCCACGTGACAAGATACTGCTGACACCTTTGGCGCGCGCCGTGTTTCTGCCCCAAAACATTCCCAAAATTGCCGCCGATCTGACTACGGTACTCGGACGCAGAGTGGACAGCAATGAGGTGGTCAAGGCAATCATCTGCAGCTGCCAGACGGACGGCTTCCACCTGCAGCACAGTCAGTGTCACGTTGCCCTTGTGGCCATTGAGGTAACCGTGTCTGTACTCGCCCAACGCCAGAAATTGCGTGAGAAAACAATCCGGCTCTACGCTAAGCACGGCAAATCTTACAATGCTGACCTTTACAAAATATACGCGCAGCACTCTAAGCTGAGCAGTAGACCACCAGATACTCAGCTGCTCGAGCCCAGCACATCCGAGGAGGAGAGCAAAGGTCAGTCCAAGATTAAGAGCATAGATACCGTTCTGCGCAGTATTGCAAGAACTGTCGATGATCCTCTAAGCGGTGGCACCCTGGACATGAAGTTTGTCTCACCTCCAGTTTCCTTTAGCGAAATCGAGCGGAGTCTACCGACGCCCACCGACATACGCGTCGAGGCTACTAATTTGGAGAGCATCAGACACAGACAAACTACCACTGACCATTGAGGACTTATTTGAAAGTGAATTGAATTAAATATAACAGAATATATTCAAGATATTTTGCTCAACAATAAATAACGTAAATAACAAATATTTGTCAATTCGGAATGTCTAAGGACTCCAGTCAGGCAGTCAGTCAGTCAGTAAATCAGATAGTCCAGCAGTTAGTCAGTTCGTCAGTCAGTCAGTCACTCAGTCAGTTAGTCAGTTAGTTAGTCAGTCAGTCAGTCAGTCAATCAACTAGGCAGTCAGTCAGTTAAGACAAATCGTTTTTTATATAGAGATCAACTGGTTACAGGGTATGAACCAGTTGAGAGCCCTTAGCCGCAGCAGTCTTTTTTTATTTAATATTTAGTTGTAAGTGTTTAATGAAATTCGGAAGTGAGCCTGTTAGCAACAATATTATGCATTTCCGAGCGCACATGTTGATATTCTGGCACTTAGCAATTGAATTTGTATGTATGTCATAAAACAACGTTCGTAGGCATACGATTAAATAAATTTATCTATTTATGTTGAAGTAATGCGTTCAGAGCAATATGCGTTGTGCCCCCATTCAATACAATTAGGTTATATATAAAGGAGAGAACGTTGACTTAGCAACCGAAATGGTTAGAGTTTAATCTTTAAAGTTGAACTACCCTTTGTAAACAATAATATTAATAAGATTTTCTGAAAGTTTCGATCTCATTCATGATAAAGTACCAGAGTTTGATACCCTTTGCAAGGGTATAAAAATATATATTTGATGACCGATTTCCGACCGAACATGTGCAGCTAAAACGAGATGTGTGTGTGTGTGTGGGGGCAGTAGTTAAATTTTAAATAAATCAAATGTCCGTATTGTAAAAAGAATTTGCTCTAAAAACATGAAAATTTATGGGGTGCACACACACAAAGATTAAACGATAGACATAATTTATAATAAGTATAATTTCATGCACAGGATAAGTTCAAAACTTACCTAGTTATTAGTTTTTTTGAGATCTATAAAATTTATCATTTTGAGAAGAGAATATCATAAAATCCACATTTGTTGGAGTCGGAAATATTTAATTTTCCTAAAGCCCTGTAAAGTCTACATATGCCTTGGAGATTTTCCTTAAATTTATCCAGAAAAAATGGTCTAAATATTGTAAGGTTAAAATTGGAATCTCTTAGGAAAAGTCTAGATTTCTTTGTTTAATTTTACTATAACTATTCAAATGTTAATTTTAATAAATACATTTTGATGATATATAAAAGATTTACGTAAAACAGGCCCAAGGGACTTGAACAACAAAATGAATAATAAATATGAATATTAAATATTTTTCAACTATTGCTTAAATTTGTGTACAGATAATTTAAAATGTCTGTTAGGTTCGAAGTTGCAAAAGGAATATTTTAAAATAGTCGCAGTAAATTTAATATAACCCATCGTGAATTTTAAATAGACATGACTTTTCTATATAGAATAACATTTCATATTGTGTTTTTAGCATTCTTTTTAATGCGCAAAAGTAATAAATATGAAAGTAAAATAAATAAGAAACAAATAAAATATGCCAAGGCATATATGTATATAAATGTATGTCTGTCGATTTCATTCTCTACATGGCAATACAACATTTAACGTTATATGAAACATTTTCAATTTTAAAGAATAAAGAATAACAACAGAAATGGTTTTTGTTACCCTCTCGGCAAGTACATATGTAAATTTCATATGAAGTGTAAGCAAGTGATCAGAGTGTTAGTTAGTTGGATAGGGTGAGCGCAATTGGGATCGTTCTGATTTCATGTGTAGATGTGCGGCCCGCGTTTTCTATGTTTGGTAGCCATTGGCCGCGGTCAGAACCCTCTCAGTAAATCATTATTAAATTAAATTGTATGTAAAAATGACAGGCAGCCTGCCTTCGCATAAGCACCGCTTAAATTGCTGGCATATCTGCTTTAATAGGCATAAACTTGGGTCTTGTTCATGAATGCTTCCAATGGCCTAAGCTCGGAGACCGAGAGAGATTCAGTTGGAAGTTAGCAAGTGACCCGTTTGGGTGTCGTGGGTGCGTGAAAATACCATACGTTTTACTGTGAAGCTTATGTAATAAATAAATATATATGGTACATCTTCTATATGTGCATCAGACACATTTATGTATTATATATTTGAGAGGGAAAATTGAATTATAATATCCTTTTTCAAGCTTTTCAATGTTTTCCAATGGGATTGACTAAAAAATATATATTATAAAACTTATTTTCAAATATAAAAAAAAATTGTGTTTATATAAACTTAATTTTCGGAGTTAACTGCTTATTATTACACGCGATAATATTTATTGATCTATTTCCGCCATGTGTTGCCAGGTCTAAATTAGTAAACATAGGATACTCGTAAAGCAAGCATCGAAGTACAAATAGAGGAAAGAAAGTTGAAGAAATGTCCAGTAATTGTGGCAACGATGGGGACGGAGGAGAACGACAAAAGCACGATCCCATCGAAATGGGCAAGCTATTGTGCCCAAAAGACTTACCCATATCAGGACAACCAGCATCGGACACAACAGCTACATCCACAAGCCATCAGGTAAGGATTGCTGAAATAACTTAAATACATTTTAGTTTTGGGGGAATCTGTATAAATGGTATGTGGTAAAGGGTAATTATTTATGAACAATCCGATTAGGTTATAAAATATGTGAGTCTTATGTCTTAGAGTTTTAGATTTGTTGATGCCAAAAATGCAAAAATTTGTATGAAACCTCGAACGGACAACGCCGCGTAACACCAGCTACACAGAACACATGCCACACAAAGGCAAAGGCCACCAGCTGCGCACATTTGAGAGCAAACGCAATGATTTTTCCCTCAGCCTTGTACATGGAAAAGTAATTTCTTTATAACGTTCTGTGCTCATTGTCTGCTCATTATATCATATTCAGGGCACAATTATGGCATTTAAATAAGAGGTTTTCTGCTACTTGTGTGGGATTTATCAACAAAATTAAATAAACTAGCTCTGCGAAAAGCATACGAAAGACTTGACACAGATTTGAAGAAATTTCAGCTTGGCGGATTCAACGACTTTCAGATACGAAAGCAAGCTAGTAAATAGATTTTTTGTAGAAGTTTCTTTATTTTATGCAAACATTTAAAGCACCTGAAGCATCTGAAGAACAATGTTAGGATCTGAACTTGAACCAAAACAATTCTTTCAGTTTGGAGCCTTAGTATGAGATGCGAGTCCCACACTTTACCAATTGCGTTTGTCAACTTATATTTCATATAAAAACTTTAAGCTGAAAACATATTTTGTTTTTCAATATATCCTATCGAAAGCCAGCATAAATTTATCAACACCAAGTATATTAAAAATTAATATATTTCTTTTTTATTTTTATTAAATTATTTGCAGCTAACCAAAATTATCCTGCCAGAGCGTGGAAGTTGGAGTTCAAAATTGGATTTTATATTGTCTGTAGTGGGGCTTGCGATCGGCTTAGGAAATGTTTGGCGGTTTCCCTACTTGTGCTACAAGAATGGAGGCGGCGCGTTTATTCTTCCATATATTTTGACACTCTTCTTGGCTGGAATTCCGATGTTTTTTATGGAGCTGGCGCTAGGTCAAATGTTGACTATCGGCGGCTTGGGCGTCTTCAAAATCGCTCCAATTTTCAAAGGTAAGTATATCAGGAAATAATTGGAAATGTAAACAAACTGTTCTCTGCATTATTTTCATGAAAGGAATTGGATATGCTGCTGCCGTCATGTCTTGTTGGATGAATGTTTACTATATTGTGATTCTGGCCTGGGCAGTATTTTACTTCTTCATGTCAATGCGAGCGGGTAAGTTTTTCAATCCATTCCAATGTAAATATAGTTACTTATTTCAATTACAGATGTACCTTGGCGTACGTGTAACAACTGGTGGAACACCATCAACTGTGTCAATCAGTATGAGAGGAAGAATCTGCATTGTTGGGATAAAATGATAAATGGAACAGCAAGCAAGGTTTGCTCAGTGGCAGCCGCAAATATTTCGTCAACAGAGCTTACGGATCCAGTTAAAGAATTTTGGGAGTAAGTTAATAAAAACTATTATAACTTTTTTTAAGTCCCCTACGGCTGAAAAAAATCAATAGCTAACATATAAACTAATGAAAGATTAATTTGTGTAAATATCTGATCTCTTGGTGACAACTAGTTCAATTAGTCATATTTCAACTGAGTTCTTATATGATTTATTAGCTAATAAGATAATCATTTTAATTTTTACAGGCGGCGGGCATTGCAAATATCCTCTGGCATCGATGAAATAGGCAACATTCGCTGGGAGCTAGCGGGCACTTTGCTACTTGTTTGGATACTTTGCTATTTTTGCATCTGGAAAGGAGTTAAATGGACCGGAAAAGTCGTCTATTTCACGGCACTCTTTCCCTATGTTCTACTAACAGTTTTATTGATTCGTGGCATTACCCTGCCTGGTGCCCTCGAGGGTATCAAGTTTTATATTATTCCCAACTTTTCGAAACTTTCTCATTCCGAGGTATGTACTCGAACTATGTCTGAAATTTGTGTAAAATCTTACAAGCAAGTGAATTTAAAAGGTTTGGATCGATGCCGTAACGCAAATTTTCTTTTCGTATGGATTGGGTCTTGGAACTTTGGTGGCGCTTGGAAGTTACAATAAATTCACCAACAATGTGTACAAGTGGGTTCATCTTTGTTTTAAGAAGTGGTATTTGTGTAACAATTGCAAATGATTTAATTTCAGGGATGCGTTAATTGTGTGCACAGTTAACTCCAGTACAAGTATGTTTGCCGGATTTGTAATATTCTCGGTGATTGGATTCATGGCTCACGAGCAACAAAGGCCTGTGGCAGAAGTGGCAGCATCAGGTTCGTATAACTCTTTAAATGTTGATGTAGCCGAGTCAGACACAAAATATACTCTGATTATAGAAAATATCAAAAGTTTTACCATATTAATATAAGTACTTTATTTTGAACAGGTCCTGGCTTAGCGTTTCTTGTATATCCGTCGGCAGTGTTGCAGCTTCCCGGATCTCCGATGTGGTCATGTCTCTTCTTTTTCATGCTTCTTCTTATAGGCTTAGATTCACAGTTCTGTACAATGGAAGGCTTTATCACAGCTATAATCGACGAGTGGCCACAATTACTCCGGAAACGCAAGGAAATCTTTATAGCCATCGTTTGCATGTTAAGCTACTTAGTTGGCTTAACTTGCATAACACAAGTAAGTCAATTACAGTATCTTTATCAACTAAATCAATAAGCCCTTCTCTATCTGCTCGCATTTTAATAACTTTTATACTTTCAGGGTGGCATGTATATCTTCCAAATACTTGATTCCTACGCGGTTAGTGGCTTTTGCTTACTTTGGCTTATATTCTTCGAGTGTGTTTCCATATCCTGGTGCTATGGAGTTGATCGGTTCTACGATGGTATCAAAGACATGATTGGATATTACCCCACGGTATGGTGGAAGTTTTGCTGGTGTGTCACGACACCCGCAATATGTTTGGTAAGTGCTGAGTAGATGGCAACTATTATGCTCGAATTAAGTCTTGGAATTTTTAAATAATGTGTTTCATTGATTTGTCCGCAGGGAGTGTTCTTCTTCAATATAGTGCAATGGACGCCTATTAAATATCTGGACTACAGTTATCCATGGTGGGCCCATGCGTTCGGTTGGTTTACGGCATTGTCTTCGATGCTCTATATTCCAGCATATATGTTTTGGTTGTGGAAACGGACGCCAGGAGACTTATGCGAGGTAGGAGTTATATTTATTTCAAGACACGTTTCTAATAATTGCTGGCTGTACTCTGTTGCCGATTGCTCTAAAATATATTTAATTATTGGTGAAATGTCGTTCCTTCCTTGAAACAACTGCCCTTTTGTACTCCCACCCGTTGACACCTAGACGTCATTGAATATAACAGTTGTCAGCTTTCTTGTTTAATCAGCCTGATTAGTCCAACAGATTGTTCACATATGCCTTATTACGGCTTTCTACCCTTATAACTTTGTTCGTGCATTAAAGCCTGCGGAGTTTTCTATGAAGGGAGAAAAAAAGAGGACTTTTCTTCTATGATAACTATATTAGAAAATCAGAATCTGATCTGTTGGCAAATTTCTTTGTAATTGGCATAATATATACTAGCCTACTTGCAGAGTATCGAAAATGGTCATTTTCCATAGTCGTAGCTTGTAGCAGGGTTGAGGTTTCAAAAATATATATTTTTTTAATTTGAAAAAATATTTTTACTTATCGTAGAGTTTTAAGCTGCAAAGCTGAACTCAAGAGGTTAGTTATGCCATCGAAAAATATGCTTATGGTATAAGAAAAGAGTATTAAGAGGCTTGGCATGCTTTGGTATTGTTCTATGCTAAAATAATTGTCTATAAATATTACAGAAAATACGTTCGATTGTTCGAATTGATGAGGACATTACGCGGTTACGTGAAAAAATGCAGCGCGAAGCATATGCTAAGGAAATTGAGTTTAATTCATAATAGGATTAAAAACATTATCCATAAAGTACTCGCCAATTTTATAAATAATTTAATATGCAATATTTTATATATTTTGATGCAGCTGTAGTTGTAGAGTTCTAATTAAGTAAGATTCTGTTTTTGCTTTAAAAACAACAGCACGAACATTTCAACGTTTATGAACAATTCATGTTTGTTACCTTGCGATACTTTGAATTTCATGAACTCTTAATGTTGAAATATTTTAATTTAATATAGGGTAGTTTTCTGAATGTAAACTATTGTAGAGAATGTGTTTTGAAGCAACTAATTAATAACAATAACAAACGCAATGCAATCAAAATTTCATCGATTGATATAATGTTAGTATTGTGACTAATGATTTGTATCAATTGGGTAATTTTTGCGAATTCTATAATATTTTTTCTAATGCTCAGCGTTGCCTATACTTACAAACATAATTATATAGATGTTATGTACTATTTGTACAATTGTACGTCAGTGGCTTACTATAATTTATTAATTAATATAGTTTTAAATTAATTATACAAATTAGAAATTACTTAGTAATAATATGCCCCATATATTTTAATGTTATAATATACTAGATATCCATAATACAAATACATTGCTCTTCGATATAAAGCTTTATGCAAAAAAAGAATACAAAATAACAGAAAAACACACACAGAAACATGAATGAAAATGTTTTACCACGTTGATTATGTACATAAGAATACATATGAATATACAAAGTATTTGCGGGAATTAGTTGTATTCACTGTTTAAATGTTAAGACGTTAATTGCTTGTGTCAATTAGAGTTATTTCTTATTATTTAATCAAGATAAATAAATGTTACTATTCTATTGCTGTTTGTTGTTCTATACATTTTTTATTATATTTAAATGTTTATTAATTTATTAATTAACTTGATAACGACAAATAGCTATGTCACAGCTTTGTATATAACTAAATGTTTTTAATCTTTTGTATTGTTTTTCAACATATCTTCATCGAAGTCTAAAATGAATTGGGTTTTCTGCTGTTAACGAAGGGCTCATTAACCTTGAACCTCTTATATGGGTCTTTTATGATAATCTGAGAATTGATTTCCATAAGAGCACACTTATATGGATAGGTTCAAGAAATGTGTCATAAATATCTGTAAAGAATTAAAAGTTATTTAATCTTCACGGCTATTAATGTGTACATAGCTTACATCTTTTTCTATGCAGCAAATAACTTGGCAATTAAATTTTAAAGTGTATTGTGGTGTGAAATCGTTGCTGCTGCATCAAGATAAGGTTTTTACTCAACAAAAAAAGTTATAGGGCTATAAAGAAAAATGTAAAGGCCTAGTAAACTGTTTACGCACATCCTTTTTTCGTCGGCACCATAACCAATAATAAGAAAGATGCGAACACAAAAGTCTGGCCACCAAAGCAACATGTGCCACGACAAAGTAACACAAAAGATAAACCTGTGTTGTGAATGGTCGACACAAATATGGGTAAAGAATGTTAAAGTTCAGGGGAACAAAGCAAATTGGTGGCAACAGCGAAAATTCGTATCAGTAAATGTTATTCAGAAGCCTGCCGTCATTTTACGATATGAAGGACACCAGTACACGAAGGCTTATGGCGTCAATTGCGCCATTTGAAAGTTTTGACACTGACAGCTCATCTGTTGTTGCCCGACGGAGTCTGTTAATACAGTGTGCAAAGCTCCTCCATGATCTGTCAGTGGATGTCCCTCTAAAGTCAGCCATTGTTTTCGTATGTTGTGTATTCTGTATTGTGATGGAATATTATTGATTTGTAACACATTTTGTTTTACCTTTAAACAATAGCTAAACCTAGTCTAGAGAGAGTATATGTGAGATATAAAAACGTCTTTTTGAAAGGTGTGTCGTAACTATATCCGATACCCCTCTTCATTCCATCGGAGAGTTAGCCCGGACCCACTGGTGAACAACGTAGAACCAAAACGTGAATGGAATGCGTGAGCTCGGAGTCTAAACGTCGGGCTGACGAACGAAAAGTCGCAGGCTAAAATTCAGCAGCAGTTGTTCTAGACTCAAATATATTCAATATCATAATCATACATTTTGTGACACGTTGACAATCTGTTGCCATACTTGAACAAGTTCATACAGCTGCAACAATAAGTACCATTAGACTTAAGGTACCAATCAAAAGCTCATGAAACAGACTAATGCAACAATTTGCAAGGTTTTATAATTAGTTTTCTGTTACGCAAGTTACGGAGAAATATAGTAACTCCGAAAATAGTTGGAAAATAGAATCAATCGAATAATCAGCATATCATACGCTTCCACTCAAACTATTTGAAATTATTTAAAGATGTCTGCAAGTAAGGAAAACTGCAGTGTTTCCGAGAGGTAAAATTACCAAGTTCTTACTCGCAGACACCTCTGCACCATTACCAAAAGATGTTAAAGGCTCCACATCTAAATGAGTCCCTGGAGCGTATTTTTGGCTAACATATAGCCTTCAATAAAGTGCCCAACAATTATATGTTACAGTTACACAATTTTGTTGCTAGTTTTTCCAGGAATGTACCTGTAATGTCGGCCTATTGTGCTGTCATTTGCAGAAATTTAATTGATTTGTGCTCGCCTGCGTCCTCGTTTCCGTGACTTGCTTTAGGTTTGCCCCATAATTAAGATAAACACAAATGGGAGAAGAAAACAAAAAGTGCGCAGCATCGAATTTTACCTGGTCTCCTGTGATTTGGGGTGGTTCTCGTTGCCTTAGTCCTCGACAAATCGACAAATTCCCTTTAATTGTAATTTGTGTTCCACTTATTGTTGACGATGCTGCCATTAATGACTCTGTATTGTGGACATTTTAATAATTAAAACGTACTTAATCGCAGTCATTCGGGGTCAGATAAATGATTGCCGCCATCAAATGTTCAACCTAATCAAACTATATAAGAATATAGGAAGATATTTTCTTCCTTCGATATTAAGTACATGTTGCTCAATGAAACCTAATATTTATAAATAACTAAATACATTAACCACAAAAATTGAACTAACCTCAACATTATTTTTGTAATTTAAATTGCAAAAAAATTACATCAAATACCAAGGAATCAAAAGAAATATGTTAAGCAGAGGTGTGCATGTGAGAATTTTAATTAATTATTTTCCTCGTGAAGTCTCTATTTACTTAAAGAAACCCAATGCCAATATCTACGTTTAAACTTCTTACGTACCTTGTTCGCTCAAGTGTGTATCAATAAATAAATACACACAAATACATGCTCCAAAGTACAAACCTAATCGTAACTAAAGCTTTCTGTGTATCTTAAAGATTCTCGTGTTCGATTTCTGTATTGCTGCCGTACAAAATAAAACATTCGATGAGTCGAGGGCTTTTCTCGGAATACGCCTACGATAGAAAGCTGTACATTCTTGAGTAAACTAATTTTCTAAAAAATAATATAAACGTGCTTAGGGCTTAGAAGAATGCGTTTTATTGAAAAATATATTTGAAATTGGGAAAGGTACTATCATTTGCCAACTTTTGGTGTATATCTCTCATTGAGTTGTATGCAATTCCACGTTTCGCCTGGTATCTGATAAAGGCACGTGTCTCTCTAAACTCATAAATTGTGCCCATCGCTCGCTGTGCAGAAACCAGGCCAACACAGAACACTCGGTCGGCCAGATTGCAAACACTTGAGAGTCAAAAACCGCCGAGAAAACGTATGAATATTTTACGTGAACGATTTGGCACTGAGAATAACGAACAAAAGGAAGTTGCCTACATTGTGTTGTATCCTGAAACTTCTTCCAATAAATACCCTTGAAAAAACATTGTGGCCTTCCATTGTTGGTCGTAAGCATAGACCTCAAAGTATATTTAGTGTATCGATTTTGAATTTATTAAAATATATTTGGAAAGGTAGCTGAAAAGCGAAAGAAAGTTATTTGGTATATAAATGAATCATTTCGTAATGAATATACGCTGCATCAAAAGTTCCTAACTATTGTTTTAGGAATATTTTATCTAAGTCATAGTCATTTTCGAGGTTGTTGCCTGCGACCGAAGGAAACATAAGAGTGCAGAATTATTTTTACCCAAATTATCCACAAAATATGCAAAAGCGGAAAATAAATTTCACCCAGGGAGAAGTGGAGTTTACAAAATATTCAGTTTGCTTCAGACCGAAGGCAAAGGACGAAGAAGCATGAAACGTGCCATGGAGCGTGTGAGCAACTATGTCAGCACGTACGCATATCCGTCATGTGCGAAGAATGAGGAACGAGGAGTTCCGAGCAATTGGTAAAAAATCGAATTGAAAATATTTTTTTAAGGGCATCCAGAGGCCCTCAAGTCGACTCCGATTTGCCACAACAAAGAATAAAACAAACCGGAAGTGTAAGCAATGAGAACTGAAAACGAATGAGGAGCGAAAACGTCGAAGTGGTCATGCATGAACAGTAAATGAAGAAGCTGTCGGTCTCTGTCTGTGTGTGCGTGTGTGTGTGTGTGTGTCAGTTTCCGGCGGATGTGTCGCGAGTGCGCCAACGCGCGTACTGCGCTTTTCAACTAGAAAAACAAATTAAGTGGCTTTCATGCGAATGAATTTTTGACTTAAAGCAGCCATCTCCGGCCGCGGCATCTATGCCTTCTTCTATCCCGCTGCAATGTACGATATGCTCGCCCATGGCGCTTTGAAAATTGGAAAACTCCAAGTAATCGAACGAAGAATAATATTTGGCTCTGTGTATACCCCTTGTTCACAGTTTATAAGGACTCATAAAGTTGGTTTAAATTCGAGAGCAAAGACAAACAATATTTAAATTAGATTTACTTTTTCAAATCATCATCCCTTACGCCATTCTACATTAACTTAAATTTAAAATTTAACTGAGATCGACGGGACCATGACTAGATTACACAAAAACAATATGCCATACATACATTATCAATGGGTACAGGGAAATCAAAAGAAATTGGCCATTAGATATTAATTTCTTCATGCAGAAGATATGCGTTTGCTTAAAGATAGAAAGAAAATTTAACATTCCCTTCGATTTCCTAGCTAATAACATCTTCACTTTATTAAAATTACATTTTTAACATTCTTAGGGGAATGTATTTTCGTATTCTTCATGTTAGAGGCACAATTGAATTAATTAAAAACATTACGTACCACTCACACGAACAGATACATATATGCATATGGCTGTTGATGTAGAGGTGTGCGAGCACACCTTTGATTCGTGCTAGGAGCATTCGTGTTGGCTTTCGCACATTCTGTAGTACGTGTTTTCTGAAAAACATATATATACATGTATATATATATACATATGCACATGTGTAATTCATCTTTAATATTTTCCTTATGCATATTTGCCAGGACCTGACAGTCCGTGAGCTCTGCATTCAGTGCGTGGTTGTGGATCTAGGCTCCGGGGCTGCCGGCCGAGCAGTGCAAATGTTATTTCGTTTAACTCGAATATGCCATTATACACATCACATACACATATAGTACATATGTGTTGGTATGGAGTCATAGAGTTTGTAACTTTTATGATTGCTGCTGATGCCGTTTTCCCTGCTGCTGCACGCGTTACAGTCTTTCAACAAGCGCCATCGGCTAGATTGTCATATTGCACAAGATAACGACCTGGCAGATGGACAAACCGACAGCTAGACAGCTACATGCATATCCCTTTTCATATATGTCGATGACGACGCTGTACCTGGCCGTGCCGTACCGTGCGTACCTGGCCAAGTGTCTCCTTTGGGGCGGCTGCCATTTATGGAGGAAAGCGTGCGCGCTGCAGCTTCTGCTCTTG